CATATATGCATTGCAAAGTTCACATCCGCTAATGTTGTCTTTTTCAGGCTTGGACAGGAATGGCATGCGATTGCACTCTGTAACTGACCATGCTAATATTTTTATTTCTTTACAACTTGACCACAGCTATTTTGATGTTTTAAAAATTTGAATAAAAAAGTGTTACCTTATAAATATCTTTAAATCGATGATCTTTTCTAAAGTTTTTTATTTTACGCTAAGGCTTTTAATAAAACCATAAAATTAATTATAGTTATTGTTTACATAAACGCATGTGTAAATTAATAAAAAGCGTTATAAGTTTTTTTTATGTAGGCATGTATTTTTTATGACAAATTTAAACGTTTGAAACTATTTTTTCATGTCTTCCTAAAATATTTTTAAACCACTATTTTTAGAAAGAATTTTTTTAAGTTACTTTAATTTGTGAACAAGTTCAAAAGCTTTTGTGACTGCTAGCTTTTACACATTTTATGCGAATTACACAAGAATATAAAACAACTTTATTTACTTAGATAACCATGTAGTTTGTTGATCCATGAAAAAGTTTTAAAGCATTTTGTAATTTTCATATGATTAATTTTTTTAAACTTATGACTAATTTGATTAAACTTACGATTTTTTAAAATGTTTTAAATAAACATTTTATTTTTTGTTAACATTTTTTTGTTTGTTTGTTTCAATTTTGTTAGAAATGAATGAGTTTAAATCTTTTATAATAATTTTTAAATTCGTTACGCGAAGCACTTATTAATAAAGTTGTAATGCTCAAATTAAATTAAAATGCTTGTTGGCAGTTAATTTTATTTAAATTGCAGGCGCATTATATTTATTAATTTTTTTTCTATTTTTACGAATAAAAAAGTTAAAATCCTTTTTTTAAATTAGACTTACTAATTAGAGCATGAATTTAGTAAATTTAATAAAAATAAATATTTTAAAAAGACTACGTCATATTTTTTTTTTTTTACAACTTTTTTGTGAAAATAAATGTTTGTACAATTTAAAAAAATTATATACAACACTTTTGAATAAATTTATTAAGTTTTGTTCATTTATTAAACCAATTATTAGTAGTAATTTATTACTTAATTTAAAAACGTTTTGTGTAACTTTAATAACGTTTAAAAAGATAAGCTTTAGTAACGTTTATTTCATACTTAATAAAAAACATAACAAAAAGTTTTGCTCCGAGTTTAAGTTTTTATTTTCATTTTTGTGCTTATATAATTTCTTTTTCATTATGAATTTGTTTTTCGTTTTTTTTTCGTTAGGAATTTTTTTTTGTTAGTTTTTTTTTTAATTTTTTTCCTAGTTTAAGTTTAGCTTAGCGTTTCTGTGTTCAGAGCATTTCTGAAATTTTTAAATCATCAAAACATATAAATAATCGTGGTCAAGTTGTCAAAGATAAAATCATTTGCGTGGTCAGCAATAGTGCTCGATCACACGCCATTCCTGTCTAAGCCTGCTTATTGTGCTCACCATTTTCTTACTCCTGATTCCATTTTCTTACTCCTGGTTCCATTTTTGCCTTTTCAAATCTCTTATTTATCTCTGTATGGAATACTGGTATCATATTTGGGCTGGCTCTTTTAATGATGTTCTTCTTGACAAGGTCTAAAAATGTATTGTAAACTTAGTTAGACACGCTCTATCTGCTTGAACCTCTCTCCCATTGTTTTAAAGTTACATCTCTTTTTCTTTTCTACAATAATATACATATATATATTTATATTATATATATATATATATATATATATATATATATATATATATATATATATATATATATATATATATATATATATATATATATATATACCCATATAGTGTAGCTTAAAGAGTCATTTAATGTAAAAAAAGTCTCTTACGACTACAATTTTAATTACCTCGTCTCTTAAGCTGTTTTTGATTGTCATCGAAATGTCAAAGCAATTAATTTATGCGGAAGTACATTAAATTTAATTGTTTTTTAAAAATTTTTTAAAAAACCGCAATTATAACGACTAGAAAGTTTTTTTTAATTAGTGGTGTTTTTGTTATTGATTTAATAAAAAACATTTTTAATACATGCGTAAATGTTGCTACATCGACTATCTTATAGCCTGACTCGCAACGGAGTGCTGCTACATCGACTGACAAATAGCCTGACTCGCAACGGAGTGCTGCTACATCGACTGACAAATAGCCTGACTCGCAAGGGAATGCTGCTACATCGACTGACAAATAGCCTGACTCGCAAGGGAGTGCTGCTACAACGACTGACAAATAGCCTGACTCGCAAGAGAGTGCTGCTACATCGACTGAGGGTTTGGTTTGGTCAGGCAGTCTATCAATTAAAAAAAAAAAATTAATTTTTAAAACTTTTTCTGGTCTGGTTTATTAACGCGCTCTTTAAAACTACAGTTTATGGGAAACGTTTTTTGATGCCATGCAAGAGACATGCAAGAGTATATATATATATATATATATATATATATATATATATATATATATATATATATATATATATATATATATATATATATATATATATATATATATATATATATATATATATATATATATATATATATATATATATATATTATGGTTATGACTTTTTGACTTTAAAAAAAAAAAAAATTATTTCCTGTATCATAAATCAATCAACTTTTATGAAAAAACAATGAAAACATGTTCAATTCCTCTCGGTTGTAAAAAAAGATCACCCCACAATTCAAATTACGTTTTGTCATTTAATCTTGTTACTGCTACTACTAATAAATCTGGCTTTCCTGCAAATCATTTAAAACTTCTATAGATTAGAAGTGTTTAGAACTTTAGAACATTTTGGAAAATAACAGAATATTTTAGAAGACTTGAGAACATTCTACAACAATTTAAAACATACTGGAACAATTTAAAACATTCTGGAATATTCTAGAACATTTTAGACTATATATATATAGCTGCTCATCTAATTTTATAACTATTACAGAAGCAACACATAGCGTCATACAAGCCTAGCGATAGTAGCATTCAGAAGAACAAGGATGAATGGACCAATAATCTAGTAAAATTTAAAGACTCTCATAAAAGAAGAAGAATGGTCTCAAAAGTGCAGAATGCCTCTCCAAAAGCAAGTTTCCAAAGAAGTCACCAAATTGTGGAAGAATAAACTGAATTTTCTTTATGTATCTGATCAAGTTATACGAGCAAAGCTCGATAAAGTAATGAAATGTTATGATGAATGTGTCAAGCAGGGAAACTATGAATCCCTTGATGAAATTTTTGATATTACGTAAGTAGATGGACATGGTCATCTTTCTAGGACAAGTGATACAATCACTTTCCATCTCTAAGTGGAAAGCAAAGAAACAGTGAGATACTCTACAGGCCAAGCAGCCAGTAAAAAAATGATCCATCCCTCGGCATCCATGATCCATCCCTGATCCAATGATCCATCCATGATCCAATGACCAATGATCCAATGACCCATCCATGATCCAAAAAATGATCCATCCCTCGGCAATGATCCATCCCTTGGCACAAAAATGATCATCCCTAGGCAAAAATTTTCTTGTCGGTCATCCAACTCATCATCTTGCTATCCTGGTTTTAGTAATTTTGACTCAGAGACTGAGTACGGTGAATATGAAAACAATGAAGATGAGACAACTCCTACATCAACCAGAAACATCATAAAAGCAAAATTGCAGTCAACTTGGTGACCTCCACAAGAGTATCAACAAACAAAGTTGCTAACATATGCAAGCATTTGGCTCATGAAGGCATTGGCATTCCGACTCCATGTCAATCAGCTGTTTACAAGTCAATGGATTATCAAGTGCCTTAAAATTGAAAGAAGAGAAATCAATTGTCCTTGGCTTGGTAGATAACAGGGCTTTAACTATTGCTCAAGGAATTTCTAAAGTCCTCAATGAATTTCACTTATAAAATTCAATACAGATGATTGTTGTAGATACCACCAACGTTAACACTGGAAAAAAGAATGGTGTTGTAATATTGCAACAAATGTTCACAGAAAAATGCATTAACAAACCTCAGTTTATCAGTTGTCAACACCATGTATTAGATAGAGTCCTTCGTTTGGTGATAGATGGAGAACTTGGAAGTAAAACACAATTGCCAAATATCAAATATCCATTTGTATCAATTGTTGAAGGAGTACAAATAACTGAAAACACAGTTTGGTAACGGAACAGAAGTAATTCTCAAAACATCAGGCTGGAGAGATGATATGAAATTTTTGTTTCATCTCGCACGAGTGTCCTGATTTTTTGAAGAAAAGGGACATCAGCAATTCGAGATACAACTCTAGAGCTATACTAGTGATTCTGGCCTTTATTTTAATTCCTTTAACAAGGACAGTTTTGCAGAGAGCATGTCAATTTACATTGTATGGCTGGGCAGACCATTGGTTTACAGCCAACTGTACAACAAAAACGACTTTAATAACTTGGCTGAAATACTGAATCCATACAAAAAGGCTTTAAGCTCTTTGAAAAATCACTGGAGCGAGAGCCATCCATACTACAGATGCCCAGAAGTAATCAATGCACAGAGCGCGCAATCAAAGTAATGGAAATTTATTCATGCAAAATAAAGACAAATTGCGCCTTTGATACCTTCTGTGCAACAAGCAAGAGCAAGGTCAACGGTCTGAGTCATTGTTGGATTGAAAACTTATTGTATTACATGACTTTGACATTCTAAATACATTTTATACTTCTATTTTTTATTCATTTTTTAATTCTATTAAAACATAATATTATAATTATATTATATTCACATTTATAATACTAAAATTCTGCTTTACTTAAACAGAAACTTTATTTTAGTATAGAATAATTTATAATATAAAGTCAACAAGTTATTATCCATTTGTATAGGTAAAATATAATCTCAAGCACTACTAAAAAGTCAGTGAATGTTATGCAAAAAAAACTGTAATTAATTTTAGTAATTAATTTTTTTATATTTTATTAATTTTTTAGGAAGTTCATTTACAATCTGTTACTGCATCGCTGCTTTGCGATAATGCAGAAAATTTCTTAAGCGAGAATGACTTCTGTAAATTCTTTATTGAATTAACAACTCGACAAGAAATATATTTCTTACTTGTAAAGTAAGTACTTTAAAGTGAAACGTAAAATGGTTTTATATATTTCTTAATAGTAAAGTAAGTACTTAAAAGTAAAATTCAAAATGGTTTTATATATTTCTTACTTGTAAAGTAAGTACTTAATAGTAAAATTCAAAATGGTTTTATAATTCAATGCAATAATGTCATACCTGTTTTTAATAGGTACTCAAGTAATGGTTCCTATCTAACTAAAGAAGATTTGATGATTTTTTTGGAAACTGAGCAAGGGGTACTTCTACTTTTTTATATGTTATATTGACAAAGACTCACAGATTGAGAATTAAAGAATTTATCTTTTTCAATCTATTGATGAGATATTTCAATCAATAATTTATAAAGCAGTTTCAAAATGTGTTTACATATTTATATAAAAAAAGGATAAGTAATGATGTAAAATAATATTTGTTATATAAAGTAGTTCTTTTTGGTTAAATCACAATATCATATATATCATATATAGATTTTATGTTTCAGCTTATTTCAGCTTCTCTGGAACAATCATTAGACATTATTAATCGGTGTGAACCAACTGAAGAGGGTCGTAAAAAGCAAATATTAGGTCTTGATGGCAAGTAATTTTTTTTTTCTCAAATTTATTTCATTTATTTACTACATTTTAGTTTAAAAGAATCACAGTTTATACAATTTTGGAATTTTAATTTGCTTACATTTTTAAATATGCTTACTTTAGTAAAAAAATTTGCATATGAAAATAAATTACATAAAAGTAATATGCTACCAATTGGTAATTAAATTTACAAATAAAATTTTTTAAGTAGGCATTTTATAAGTAAAAACAAATTTTTATTAAAAATTATTATAATTATATAAAATAAAACATAAGCTAACGTATATAAAACGTAAGCTTATGTTTTATTTTATATAATTTATTTTTAATAAAAATTTGTATATAATTTACTTTGAAATGTTTAAAAAAAGTGTTTTAAAAACTCATTACTCTTATGCTAATGGCATGAGAGGGAGGTAAACATATTAGGGTTTTATTGTTTTCAGACTCCCATTATTGCAATTTTTTGCATAAGCTTTTATTTTACATAACATCGTTAGATAAAGTTAAATTCTCAAACGAAAAGCTTGCAACAGGCCTGATTGTAAATATGTGTTTTGGATCTGGTTGTTTAAATATTGTGATTTGCACTTTGGTTATTTTTTTAATTTTTTTATTTTATTAAACTTTATATTATTTTATTATATAAAACACTTTTCTTCACAATCAACCATATAATTTTAAATTTAAAAATATATTTTTTTGAACCACCCTATTGCATTCGCTATATTAAATACACTAAACTAAGCAGCTGTTGTGGTTATGAAAAGTTATCAATTTTGTTTTGTTAATTTTTTAAATTTTTTCACTTTATAATTTTTCTGATTAAAAAAATTAAACTTGAAGTTATTTACATTAGTTATTCAAAAGTGTGAAAATATAATTTTCAAAGTAAATTACTTTTAAACTTACTTTAAAAAGTAATTTACATTTACAAGTAAAAATAAACAACTTTTTAATGCAAATTACTTTTACTTGTAAAAATAAATTTTTCAAGTAACAGTTACACATTTAAAAAACTTTAGTAGTTAAGTTTTACATGTTATGTAAAAAAAAATTGTAAAAAACTAGGAAGAAATAATCTTTTTGTGACATTCAAATCCGGAGTCTTTTTTGGAACTCATTGAAAACTTTTACTACAATATTATAGATACAACAGCAGTTTAAAAAAAAACATACAGCATCTAATTATAAAATGTTGTAGCTGTAATCATATTAATTGTAATTATTATTTATATTAACAAAAAAATGAATTACATATATAGCAAATTTAAATTTAAAGCAGTGTGCTACATGAGTTTAAATTAAGATAGTTAATATAGTAAAATATATTGTCATTATCAAATATAGTAAAATATATTGCCATTGTCAAATATAGTAAAATATATTGTTATTGTCAAATATAGTAAAATATATTGTCATTGTCAAATATAGTAATATAGTAAAATATATTGTCATTTAAAGATATGTTGTTTAATTTACCTTTTTAAATTTTTTTTTTGATTTTTTGATTGACTTAATTTTATATAAAATGGTATTTTATTTTAATGTTACTCTGACTGTCTAAAGTTACTTTATAATTGTATATTTAATTGTTACTTTAACTAATTAGAGTATAACACAATAAACTTGCTACTTGCTCTTTGTGAGACTAATTTGAGTTCAGCTGTCCCATCTTGTGATCTTAGTGTTGATGGTTATCTTCCTTTAATTCGTAAAGACTCCAATAATCACATGCTTGGCCTGGGCATCTACATTCGTAAGAACTCACCCATTTGTCGTGAAACTAGGTTTGAATCTACAGACTATTCATTTATGTGCTTTCGTTTAGCACAACTTCACTCTATCGCCTTTCTCTTTGTTCTATATCGCTCTCCTTCATCCCAAGATTGCACTATTCTTGATGTTATTTCTGATCAAATTGACCAAGCCCTCTCTCTTTATCCATCGGCCAATATCGTCGTTGTTGGTGACTTTAATGCCCATCACACCGATTGGCTTGGCTCTAGTGTCAGTGACTCTGCTGGCGTTAAGGCCCTCAACTTTTGCCTTTCTCAATCTCTAACTCAAATAGTCAACTTTCCAACTCGTTTTCCAGACAACCCTAATCATTTACCTTCTCTACTCGACTTTTTTTTTTTTTTTTTTTTTTTTTAACATCTTCACTTCCAACAAGGCTGCAAGCAACCACTATAAGAGTTGGAAGTTACTGGAAGAGAAAAGACTAAATCTGTAGAGCAAGATAACGATTGACTGATGACTTAAAAGATTGCAAATTATATGAATCAGGAAAGCAAGATGAAGGAAGCGAATTCCAAAGAACTGATGTTCGAGGAAAAAAACTAGAAGAATAAGAGTTTTTGAAACACTTAGGAACAGTCACAGAAAAAGGATGAGACTTAATTGAATGGCGAGTAACACGAGAATGAATTTTAGTAGATGGCACAAGAGACGCTAGCTCTTTAGAGCAGTGCCCATTATAGTATTTGTAGAAAAGAGAAAGAGAAGCAACATTACGACGATGTGACAAAGGTTGGAGATTAGCTGCCAGAGCAGGTCCAACTATGTTTACAATTCGTTTTTGCACCTTGTCTAAAAGAGAAAGAGCATCATTAGAAGATCCGCCCCAGATGTGGCAACAGTATTCCATACAGGGACGGATTTGAGATTTATAGAGATAGAGAATAGAATCTGGAGTAAGAAAGTGTCGAGCTCGATAAAGAGATGCAACCTTAGCAGATGCTAATTTTGCAATGGATTTGATATACGGTTTAAAAGAAAGATCAGAAGTAAGAGTTAATCCTAGAAGATGAATGGTAGATGACTCATCTAGTACATTACCATTCATAAATATAGGAAGATCTAAATTATTACGATAACGATTGGCCGAATAAAATTGAGTTTTATCTGAATTAAAGTTCACCAGCCACTGTGAGCCCCATGCTGTAGCAGAAGTGAGATCCTTTTCAAGCTCAGATACCCCCTCCAAGCAATCAGAGAGTGTAGGCTTCTTATCATGACAAGAGTAAATGGTAGTGTCGTCAGCGAATAATGCCACCTTAGATGTGAGAATATCTGGAAGATCGTTAATGTAAATTAAAAAGAGTATAGGGCCAAGGATTGAACCTTGAGGAACCCCTGAAGTTACAGGATGTGAAGAAGAGTGTTGTCCATCGAGGACAACTTTTATACTACGATTGGAAAGAAAGGACTCAATAATCTTAAAGACGTTACCAGCTACACCATAAGAAGAAAGCTTATGGAGAAGACCAGCATGCCAAACTTTATCAAAAGCTTTAGAAATGTCAAGTGCGATAGCCTTAACCTCTCCACCTCTATCTAATGCACGGTAAAACCTATCGGTTATTACTGTTAGCACATCAGCTGTAGAACGAGAAGACCGAAATCCATATTGATGATCAGAAAGTAAGTTATTTGATTCAAGATGAGAGATTAAGTGTTTGTTGATTAAAGATTCAAAAACCTTGCTTATGACAGGAAGAAGACTAATGGGACGGTAGTTAGATGAATCAGATCGCTCTCCGGAATTTTTGAAAATAGGGGTAACAGATGCTGCTTTCCAGCATGATGGAAAACAAGACTCTGATAAGCACTTGTTAAATAGTTTAGAAAGTATGGATGAAAGCTCCGGAGAACACCTCTGCAAGACTACAACAGGAATGTTGTCAGGACCACAAGCTGTTGAAGAGTCTAAGCAGGAAATTACTTTAGATACAGAAGCTGAAGTGATGCGAATGTCAAGCAAGGGATCAACCTGTTTGACGGCTATGTCAGGTAAAACGCAACTAGTGGAATCAAGAGATGATATTGATGAAAAGTTCTTAGCAAACAATTCAGCTTTGTCTTTAGGTGAGGTGACAAAGTCTGAACCATACAAGAGAGAAGGAATAACAGATTTGCCCTTATTATTGATACTGTTAAAGATTCTCCAGAAGTCTCGAGAGCCTAATTTTTGTGATGAGATACGAGATTTAATGACCTGGGAATAGCGAGTTTTGGCGTCAGACAAAACCTTTTTACAATGGTTTCTGGCGATAGTGAACAGATGACTTATGTCTTGTTTTGGATCCTAGTCAGTGCTCAATTTCTCCACATTCACCCTTAGGTACTTCTGATCACGGTTTGATCTCTCTAAAACTATTATCAAATTCTTCTACTTCATCAGAATCCCCCTATCATCGTACCACATACAACTACCTTAAAGCTGACTGGGACTCTTTCCGTGATTTTCTTCGTGATGGCCCTTGGGTAGAAATCTTTCGTCTTCCTGCTGACAAATGTGCTTCTTACATAACTTCGTGGATTCAGGCTGGCATGGAATCTTTTATTCCCTCTCGACGATTTCAGGTCAAGCCTCACTCTTCTCCTTGGTTTTCCTCACATTGCGCTGCAGCAATTTCTAATCGAAACCGTTACTTCCATATCTATCAGCAAAACAATTCTCCAGATAACAGACATCTGTTCACTATCGCCAGAAACCATTGTAAAAAGGTTTTGTCTGACGCCAAAGCTCGCTATTCCCAGGTCATTAAATCTCGTATCTCATCACAAAAATTAGGCTCTCGAGACTTCTGGAGAATCTTTAACAGTATCAATAATAAGGGCAAATCTGTTATTCCTTCTCTCTTGTATGGTTCAGACTTTGTCACCTCACCTAAAGACAAAGCTGAATTGTTTGCTAAGAACTTTTCATCAATATCATCTCTTGATTCCACTAGTTGCGTTTTACCTGACATAGCCGTCAAACAGGTTGATCCCTTGCTTGACATTCGCATCACTTCAGCTTCTGTATCTAAAGTAATTTCCTGCTTAGACTCTTCAACAGCTTGTGGTCCTGACAACATTCCTGTTGTAGTTTTGCAGAGGTGTTCTCCGGAGCTTTCATCCATACTTTCTAAACTATTTAACAAGTGCTTATCAGAGTCTTGTTTTCCATCATGCTGGAAAGCAGCATCTGTTATCCCTATTTTCAAAAATCCCGGAGAGCGATCTGATTCATCTAACTACCGTCCCATTAGTCTTCTTCCTGTCATAAGCAAGGTTTTTGAATCTTTAATCAACAAACACTTAATCTCTCATCTTGAATCAAATAACTTACTTTCTGATCATCAATATGGATTTCGGTCTTCTCGTTCTACAGCTGATGTGCTAACAGTAATAACCGATAGGTTTTACCGTGCATTAGATAGAGGTGGAGAGGTTAAAGCTATCGCACTTGACATTTCTAAAGCTTTTGATAAAGTTTGGCATGCTGGTCTTCTCCATAAGCTTTCTTCTTATGGTGTAGCTGGTAACGTCTTTAAGATTATTGAGTCCTTTCTTTCCAATCGTAGTATAAAAGTTGTCCTAGATGGACAACACTCTTCTTCACATCCTGTAACTTCAGGGGTTCCTCAAGGTTCAATCCTTGGCCCTATACTCTTTTTAATTTACATTAACGATCTTCCAGATATTCTCACATCTAAGGTGGCATTATTCGCTGACGACACTACCATTTACTCTTGCCATGATAAGAAGCCTACACTCTCTGATTGCTTGGAGGGGGTATCTGAGCTTGAAAAGGATCTCACTTCTGCTACAGCATGGGGCTCACAGTGGCTGGTGAACTTTAATTCAGATAAAACTCAATTTTATTCGGCCAATCGTTATCGTAATAATTCAGATCTTCCTATATTTATGAATGGTAATGTACTAGATGAGTCATCTACCATTCATCTTCTAGGATTAACTCTTATTTCTGATCTTTCTTTTAAACCGTATATCAAATCCATTGCAAAATTAGCATCTGCTAAGGTTGCATCTCTTTATCGAGCTCGACACTTTCTTACTCCAGATTCTATTCTCTATCTCTATAAATCTCAAATCCGTCCCTGTATGGAATACTGTTGCCACATCTGGGGCGGATCTTCTAATGATGCTCTTTCTCTTTTAGACAAGGTGCAAAAACGAATTGTAAACATAGTTGGACCTGCTCTGGCAGCCAATCTCCAACCTTTGTCACATCGTCGTAATGTTGCTTCTCTTTCTCTTTTCTACAAATACTATAATGGGCACTGCTCTAAAGAGCTAGCGTCCCTTGTGCCATCTACTAAAATTCATTCTCGTGTTACTCGCCATTCAATTAAGTCTCATCCTTTTTCTGTGACTGTTCCTAAGTGCTTCAAAAACTCTTATTCTTCTAGTTTTTTTCCTCGAACATCAGTTCTTTGGAATTCGCTTCCTTCATCTTGCTTTCCTGATTCATATAATTTGCAATCTTTTAAGTCATCAGTCAATCGTTATCTTGCTCTACAGATTTAGTCTTTTCTCTTCCAGTAACTTCCAACTCTTATAGTGGTTGCTTGCAGCCTTGTTGGAAGTAAAGATGTTAAAAAAAATAAAAAAAAAAAAAACAACTAAAATTTAGAAAAATATAGAAAAGTGTTTTCACTTTGAGTTAATATGGAAAAAAAACTATTATTAATTGATATTAAAGTTTGCATCTTTTGTCACCAATGAAATTTTTTGTATTTTCAAATGGTTTGTGTCAAACAAAATGCACGAATCAACAATTCTAATACTATAGCGATTTGGCCTGTATCTGTAAATTTGATAGCAACAGGAATGTTTTTTGGATTAAATTCTTGCAATTTTATTTGAAACTTTTTTCGGTTTAACAGAACACTTTTTTGTCCTTGTTAGGATATGAAAAAATCATTGTCACATTTTATTGCTGCTTCTAATTTTAGGTTTAACAGAATATTTTTTTGAAGAAGATTGCAATATATTCAAAGCAGAACATGAAAGTGTTTGTGAGGATATGAAAAAACCACTGTCACATTATTTTATTGCTGCTTCTAATAACACGTATGTTGTCATAATCTCCAGCATATTTGGTAGTATATTAATCGTATTGAATATCTCTTTTAGCAAAATTTTATCTTTTATTGTGCAATACTGGAAAACTTTAAAAGCTTAAACTATTTTTTATTCAGATACCTTATAGAGGATCAGCTGACAGGTAAATCTAGTGTTGAAGGGTTCGTCTCTTGTTTGCAGAGAGGTTGTAGGTATATTGAATGTAAGTTCATTAAATTACTGTTTTTTTTTTCCTAAAATTTTCATATTTATATCTGCAGTTTTATTGAACATTTTTATTTAATTATCTTTAATATCAAAAGAAGAATTAGAAACTTTAAATAAAATTGTAAAATTATACATTGTTTTGTAAATAAATATATATGTATGGTGTGTACTAGTATTTATTTATGGTGTGTGCTAGTACACACCATACACCATGGTATAATGCCAACTAGAATTCAGCAAAATGTAAACTTTTTATTTTGCAGAGTTTCTTAATTATAGTTAATTAAAGTATGATATAGTTACATTGAACCCTTATAAGAGTTACAGTTTTTAGGTTATAAGTGAACCCTTGCAACTAAAATCTCCAGTTAAGGTATTTACATTTAATTTTACCTATCCCTTTGATCAGTGAAAGTATGTGTTCTTAATAAATAAAAGTATATAAATCTACAAAGGTTGATTTTCATTATGTGGGAAAATTTCTAGTCTTCATTTTTTAATTTTTTTAAATCCCTCTAATGTCATAAAAAATCCATAAATCAGTATTCAATAATTCATCAGATAAAAATAGAAAAATAAACCTAACAATACAATGTAATATTAAAAAAAGTAAACTAAAAGATATTTATGAATATATGAACTGCAATAGTCTGAAAGAATTTAGTAAACATGATATATTTTAAATGGTTGCCTATTCACTAATTTTTATCTGTTATTTGTTACTTATTTAACTGTAACTCTAGCATTGACATATACTAACATTTACTTTGACTGCTAAAAACAGAGTTGTTTAAAAAATAATAATAATAATTTATAGCACTTATAGTTAAAAAAAAAAGTTAAAAACATAATTCCAGACCATTTGTAACAGTTTAGGAAATGCTTGTTTTTAAAAATATAAAAGTTCCTAAAGCTTTTAATATTATATATATATATATATGTATATATATATATATATATATATATATATATATATATATATATATATATATATATATATATATATATATATATATATATATATATATATATATATAATATATATATATATATATCTTTGTAAAAATTGATGTCCTTTAAGTATTTATTAAGTTGATATTTTTAGTTTGTAAAAAAGCGTTTTACTGGTTTGCAGTTTTGTAAAATTAACCTTGGTTGCTGCTAGGTTTCTTTGATTTATACATACTATAGTTTTTTAGGAATATTTTGGTATTTTTAATTTTTTATTCATTTTAATTTTTTACTTTAACACCAGGTTTCTAGATAAAAACCAAAAATTGTGTCATCGTTTAACTTTTAGATAAGAGTTTCTAGATAAACAGCCTAATTTTTTTTTATTTTTTGTTTAAAATCTCAAATTTTGTTTTTGTTAAACACAGTATTTATTGATAAAAAGAAAAATGCAGTATGAAAGATGTAGATGTAGTGAACCTTGCTTTAGTTAGAGCTAGAGGTTCAGAGTTTAAATTCCATTAAGCTCCTGAATGTATAAATACCTAGGTATATGTGTCAAAGATATAGAATAGAGAGAGGGTTATAGTGCTGCACTTTCCCTCCCCTGGGCCTAGGGAAGCTTTGTATGTAATTAAAAGAAAACATTTTTGAAACAGTTTTAACTTATTATTTATATTTCAAATAATTTTAAATTATAGTAGAGTGTTACGATGGAGATGAAGGAGAGCCTAATATATACCATGGAAATAATTGTACTCTAAAGCTACCTTTTCTTGATACTATCAAAGTTATTGCAGAGAATGCATTCTACTCAACTGAGTATGTTTATTTTTATTTAATTTTTATGATTATTATTAAGTGTTATAAAAATTGTATTTGTTAGTTTTATTAAAGCATGTATATTTTTAAAAAATTAAAATATTTCTGCGCCCAAATCGATTTCAAAAAATATTTATATAATTTTTAGGTTTATGTTTAGCATTTGTTAAATTATTTACTTAATTTTTAAAAGTAAAAAAACCAAACTTAAGATAGTTAACTTTTTAAACATTTTTTCAAGAAAAATAGATAGGTCATCTAATAAATGATATTATTTAGATGACTTGCTATCTTTTTTTTTTAAAAGATTGATATCTATTAAAAGTTATACTCTCACTTGAACTCTTCCATTTAACTCGACATAAACTGCTTGTCATAGATACTCTCTTTAGACTTGTTTATTTTTCTAATCTTTATAAGTTGGTTATAAGTTTCTAATCTATATATCCTCTCACTTAAACTCTTCCATTTAACTTGACATAAACTGCTTATCATAGATACTCTCTTTAGACTTATTATTTTTCTATTCTTCATAAGTTGGTTATAAGTTTCTAATCTATATATACTCTCATTTGAACACTTCCATTTAACTTGACATAAACTGCTTATCATAGATACTCTCTTTAGACTTGTTTATTTTTCTAATCTTCATAAGTTGGTTATAAGTTTCTAATCTATATATACTCTCACTTGAACACTTCCATTTAACTTGACATAAACTGCTTATCATAGATACTCTCTTTAGACTTGTTTATTTTTCTAATCTTCATAAGTTGGTTATAAGTTTCTAATCTATATATACTCTCATTTGAACACTTCCATTTAACTTGACATAAACTGCTTATCATAGATACTCTCTTTAGACTTGTTTATTTTCCTAATCTTTATAAATTAAATTGGCATATTTTAGTTGATTAAAAAATTACCATATATAGTATAAGAAAATCATCATATTGCTATTTCCATATTTCAGTGACTATCATTTCAATTTTCTTCAATAAAAATTTTTCTATAACTCAAAAGTAATTTTTTATTACTATAAAATAATCTTGAACTAAAATTTTATAAAATTTAAACACAGTTTTATTGCCATAGCACTGACATAGAAGCAACACTGACACAAGACATAAAACTGGTGTGAGACAAAATTTAAAACATAAGTTCAATGGTGATAAATAAAATTGTTAAACACAATTTTATTGCCAGAGCATTGACATAAGACACAACACTGACACAAAACATAAAACTGACGCAAGACAAAATTTAAAACATGAGTTCAGTGGTGCAACACAGAGTAAAGTTTTTTTTTTTTTTGTTGTTAAATAAAATTTTCTCTGAAACCTCGCGTTATTTATTTAGCAATCAGGCAGTCAACAACAAAAGTTTTCATAAGTCATAATTTCAGCCAGTCATAATAAAAGGCCACAAATAACAAAGTTTTCATACTGATTTATTTTACAGAAAAAAATTATCACTTCAATCTCGAAGCAAAAATGGAATCAAAGTCATGTTGAAAGTTTTTTTTTTTAATGAATTTAAAGTATGCCCAGGTAAAAATAGTATGGGATCAAAGTTATCATTCCAAACATAAAATAATGTGATTTTGATATATTTTTGATTTTCCTTAAAAAAAATAAAATTGAAATGAGTGGTTCGTTTTTTTAGATATTTGCAAGTTTTGTAAAATTGATATAAAATGCGATTGCTAACGCAAAATCTGCTGTTGAATTGAACTTGCATTAATTTAATTCTCAGCGCTGTGATTCCCTTAATAGTAATTCCATCAACTGCTCCTGCATCCTTGCATGAAAAAAGTTTCATGAGAATTTTTTCGTAAAATTTTTCAAACACAACCATTACAGCCATAATGCTTTTGTTTTTAAATTTAAAAGTGGTGTTGTTGCTAAACAAAACTTTTTCAACTTTTTGGATTTTATTGATGTACAGTATAATATACAATATTTCAGACTGCAAAGGTTATGAGAAATTTGATTTTGAACAAAATGAATAGCTTACGGTTCTTTTTGATAGAAACAATCAACTTGGGTTATTGCAATTTCAGAATAAATGTTCACTGAAACATAATATTCATTTAATTTTTTAAAAATTGTTGATTAGCTTTTCTTTTAAATGCGTATTTGACGAGTTTATCACTCATCACTGATATGTGCTGAATAAGTTCTGTTACCGTAGACTTCTTTTGAATCTTTTTGATGTTTGCATATGTTTTAATTTTAGATTTACTACTCATCCCAGGATACTTTAAAGCAAATGTATCAACAGTTTGCACATGTTCATTGAACTATTTTATACCTTTACATTCAACACATTTTTCATAGGCACAGTTGTATGTGTATTTCAAACAAAGTTATTTATCAAATTAGATCCAACTTTGATCAGAGACACTTAAAATTGATTTTGTTAAGGTTTAAAATGTTGCAACAACTTGTCGTCAAGTTTTCACTTCACAGTTTTCAAAAGTACTCACTTTCTTATAAATTGTTTTAAATTTCTTTTTTCTTCAAATTTTTTTTTCTTCAATTTTAGTTAAACACATTAAAAATATTGTTAAAATAAATTTTGAGAAGAAAATATTTGTACCGAGTAGATAAAGTTGATAAATGTTAGCAATAATTTTCTTTTTTATTGTACTTTTGTAATGTATTTTAATTTTCTGTGTAAAGTTTCGTGTTCCTTTTTTGCGTTTTTTTATTTGCAAAAGTTTTGGTTGTACAATTGTTACTTTAAAGTACCCAATATATTATTTATTATAAAAGATATTCTGTTTTTATCACAATTTAATTACAAACTTAATGACAAATAATTATGTCAAAAAGTAAATAAAAAGCTAATTGTGACAAAAAAATTATTTATGATGATTAATTTTTATTGGTAGAGCAGTAATTTTCAAGATAAGTCCATAATACATATGCATAAATGCAATATATATATATATATATATATATATATATATATATATATATATATATATATATATATATATATATATATATATATATATATATATGTATACATATATATAAGATTTCATTATATATTTGTACAATTATATCAATTTTTTTCTTTAGTTATCCCCTTATATTGTCAATTGAAAATCATTGTTCAACAAAACAGCAACTTGTTATGGCACAACATCTAAAAATGGTTTTTAGAGGTTTTTTTTGTTAACTAATTAGTAATTAATGTTTATATATATATATATGTATATATATATATATATATATATATATATATATATATATATATATATATATACACACACACACACACACTTACAAAAGCGTGTTTTGATAAGCATTTGCTCACTTTTTCTGCTTACCTTAAGCTATACCGTTTTTTTCGAAAAAGAAGAAAAAACAAAGTATCATGAATAAAACGATTGCTTCCCCATCCCAAACCCTCAGTCAATGTAGCAGCACTCCACTGTGAGTCAGACTATTTGTCAGTCGATGTATGTACTGAAGCCCCCAGCAGCAGGCTATTTTAGTATGACGTCAGATTGCTTACCTTAGTACGCAATAATATTTATATATATATATATATATATATATATATATATATATATATATATATATATATATATATATATATATATATTTATATATATATATATGTATATTATAACAGAAGCGCTATTAGGCGCACTCAAAATATATGAAATTGCTGTTTTAAGTTTTAAAAAAAGCATTTAAGTGCGTCTAATAGCGCTATAGTATATATATATGTGTGTGTGTGTGTGTGTGTGTGTGTGTGTTTATATATATATATATATATATATATATATATATATATATATATATATATATATATATATATATATATATATATATACTAGAGCGCTATTAGACGCACTTAAATGCTTTATTTTTAACCTAAAACAGTGATTTCATATTTTGAGTGCGCCTAATAGCGCTTCCGTTATAATATATATATATATATATATATATATATATATATATATATATATATATATATATATATATATATATATATATATATTTAATTTTTTTTTTTTTCAACCATATTAATAAAATTTACAAATTTCATCATAAATTAATATAAATTGGTCAGGTGTCACTCATATAGTTACAAACTAGTCAATGGAGTGACACCTAAAAAACATAAAACAAAAGGAAAAACTCAACATCTGTATATGTAAATAAGAGAGAAAAGAAGAAAAGATTGTTAAACAAATAATAATGATATATGTAATAATAATAGTAATAATACAAAATAATAACAATAATAATAAAGTACCAATAATATTAAGAATTTATATATATATATATATATATATACATACATACATACATACATTCATACATCAGGCCTTGCAATAAAGCGTCGGGCGATGTGAATTTTACGTCGTCCAAGAGCGATTTTGCGTGTAGCTATAGCTATTTGCGTCGAGCAAAAAATTTTTTGTTTGAGTATATTTGAAGATATTTTTGAGCGGAATTTTAATGAAGTAATTTACGATTATTTTAACATTTAATAAAGTATTTTAAAAACCGCACGCAGTTGAAATAAAAGTTATAATTAAAAAAAATTAAATATGCTCATTATTTACAAGTAGAAAAAATTCAGATTAAAAAAAAAGTTTAAATCTTTTAAGCTAACATTTTAATAAAATTATTCAGCAATAGCAAAGTTGTCGATAAAATTGAACAAAAATACTTTCTTTTAGTTTTAGATTTTAAACTTAAATAATTATTTTACGGGGGTTTGTTAGGTTTTAAAATTATTCCATAGCTTTAAAAATATTTATTAACTGTTAGACGTATTTAAAGTATTTAAGAGTAATTTCGAGGAAACATTTTAAAAATTGGTGAGCGCAAATAAATAAAAAAAAAAGGATTAATATTAAAACGTATTCTACTTGATTCAATAAAAAAGTACAGTTATTAAAATTTTTGTAAAAAGTAACACAAATAAATTACTTAAATAATAACGATCGCTTTTATGTTAAAAGTTACCAAAACAAAACGAAGCGTGCTCAAGAACAGCTGCTGAAAAATAGAACGTCAATAGTTTTTCGAATAATTTTTAAGAATAATTTTTTCGCTGAAATATTTCTTTTATACCTATAAGATTTTTATTCTATTATTTTCTTTTATTTTACTAGAAATAAAATTCCTTGTTAACATTAAAAATCTATTCAAAACGTTCGTTTAAGTTTTTTATTAATAAGAGTGATTGTGCTTATCAACCGCTTTATGAAAATAAATTAAAATAAATAAATAAATATTTTATAAAATCGCTTGTAAAAATATTAGCTATTGCACAGTTTTTAATAGTACAATATTAGAACTTCCAGTTTATTACTCGCTGACTTTTTAAAAAGAAAAAATAATTATTTGAAAAACTTTAAATTACATATTTAAGAAAAAAAAAATCAAATATTAGCATATTTTATAATCTTTTTTAAATTTAAGTTATAATGTTTTTTATTCGTTTAGTATAGACAAAACGTGACAAACGTCGAGAAAATAAACAAATGTTTTTACATTTTAAAAAACGAAACATTCCAAAACATTTTTAAATAATAACATTTCTACATAAACGATTTAAAGTAGTTTTGCAGTAATTATGTAAATTGGTGCAGTTAATGTCGATAAATATGAAAAGCAAATAAAAAGAATTTAATGACGTCAAAAATCACGTCGTGCTTATGCGTTGCGCAGTTCTTATTCATCGCAAGGCCTGATACATATATACCCTTATCTCGTAGTCAAAAGAGACTTTTAATCTAAAATAGTCTCTTTTGACAACAATTTTGTTATCTCGACAATTTAGCTACATTTTATTGTTGTTGAAATGTCAAAGCAATTAAATTAATGCTGAAGTATATTAAATTTTATTGTTTTCTAAAAAACCGCAATAATAATGTCTAGGAAGTTTTTTTAATTAATAGTGTTTTTGTTTTATTAAAATATATTTTTAAAACATGCGCGGAGTGTACATCAACTATCTTATAGCTTGACTCACAACGGAGTGTTGCTACATTGACATTTTATAGCCTGACTTGCAATGGAGTGCCGCTACATCAACTGAGGGTTTGGTTAGGGCAGGCAGTCTATCATTTAAGGAAAAAAAAAATTATTCAAGTTTTTAATTTTTTTCTGGTCTGGTTTATTAGCGATATATATATATATATATATACATATATATATACATATATATATATATATATATATACATATACATATATACATATATATATATATATATATATATATATATATATATATATATATATATATATATATATATATATATATATATATATATATATGTATATATATATATATATATATATATATATATATATATATATATATATATATATATATACATATATATATATATATATATATATATATATATATATATATATATATATATATATATATATATATATATATATATATACATATATATATATATATATATATATATATATATATATATATATATATATATATATATATATATATATATATATATATATATATAAAATTAATTATGAAAAAAATCCAAATATATAATTAAGAAAAATGTGTGTGCATTTTTCCGCTAACCTATCATTCACGATATTTATAACCTATCATTCATGATATTTTACTTGCCGCAAAAATGTTCTAATTTAAATAAAGAAAAGAATTGTTGGATTAAAATTAAATTCTTAAGAAATGCTAACATGTCAATAATATACAAAAAGTTTTATCAAATGAAAGCTTGAAGATAACTGTTTTCAACATAAATTACTATTAAGCATTTTTCAAAAAATTTTATTAAAATACTTTGAAAAAATAATTATGCCTGCAAACGAGTTTATATATATGTATATATATATATATATATATATATATATATATATATATATATATATATATATATATATATATATATATATATATATATATATATATGTATATATATATATATATATATATATATATATATATATATATATATATATATATATATATATATATATATATATATATATATATATATATATATATCTTAAGTTTAAGAATATGCTAAAAAATATGAGAGGTGATTCCACAGCAGAAAATGAAAAAGTATTCAAATTTAATTCCTTTTTTTTCAACTTTTAACATTCTACTCAATGGTTTTCATCTTCTTGTACAGCTGCTATATCTAGTCATTTCTTTCATCTTTTTTAAAAGAATAACTCTCTTGAGGGCAAACTGCTATTTATTATTGCAAGAAGTTGATGTAAAAATGTGCTGTCTGATGCTAAGCTCCTTCATTTTCAGTTCAAAAAATCCTTTATCTTTTCTCAGAAGAAGTCTCCAGTTTAGGAGTGACACCAGTTTTTAAAATTGCCTTTGTTAATTACTTTTAATGAATGAGTTCAATACTTTTAGAATTCTTTTGTTTAACAACTCTAAAAATTCTAACTCTTAATAATAGATATAAACAAGTAAATTTAAAAATGAGTTTTCAAAACCTTTTTAAATGCTTTTATATAAAACACAAATTTTGCAATCAATTTTTTCTGATATTACTGTTTTATTTTACTAACATTCGACTGTATGCATGTGTAAATTAACAACAAAATTGAAGAAGAAGCGGGTCTCGAACCTCAGACATTCTGTTTACAAAGTTTACAATGTCTTATCCAAATATGCTAAATGCATGTATGAATATGAAAATCAATTTACTTATTTATAAAATTTTTTATTCTTTCTTCCATATTAAAAAATTAACTTGATAAAAATTAACTAAATTAATTCACTTATTACAAAACTAATTATTGAATATTGTATTGTCATTAAGTAAGAGTATGTATGCAAAATTTGACGAAAATCTTTCATCAGGAAGTGACTCAAAAATTGATTGTAAGATTTGATGCTCACAGACAAACACAACGAGTTAATAAAAGCATTGGGAAAAAGCATCGGAAAAAATCCCCGATAATAATCGGTTGGTAACGTAAGTGATGCAATGTATGTTAAATATATAGTATAAAAAAAAACAAGTTTATTTTCCTTAGCCAGTCACCTATGATGAGTTTTTAAATATTTTTTTAATTGGTATAGAGTTCTTGTAAAAGTTTTTTACCGTGTTTTTTTGCAAGACATAAGTTAAGTGGCATTTTCAGTTTGCCTTTTTTGGTAAGGCTCAAAACTTTTGAGTTTGTTTTATTCTTCAGATTAACAGCTAACATACAAAATAGCTAAAAATTTAATTTACAGTTTAAATTGGCAAATATTTGATAAAGTTTTTGCATCTGTAATGTAATTTAAAAATGGAATTGCCCATATGCTTAAATTATTTTTTTAGGAAAAAAATTTCTCTTAACAGAAGTAAAATAATTTATTTGTTTTACTTTTCTATAATTTAATTTTTATTTTAACCTTTGCAACCACTAGTTTAATGTTTGCAACAGAATGTTTCTACTTTTAAAACTATTTTCAAGAAACAAAATATAATTAGCTATTAAAAACGTTTACGATTTAAATAAAACTTTCTTCCTTACTTGCACTAAGTCTGAAATAGATACTGTAGCTAGATATAAGTTTAACTTCCAGCAACCATTCTCGCTATGCTAAGTATTACAGACTGGGTATTATGGATGCCACTGAATAATAATTATTTGTTTATATTTATTAATCCTTAAAATTCTTTTAATTTTTCAGATTTCATATTTTAATCACAAAATTATTTGAATAAGAGAATTTTAGATTCTCTTACATCTTAAAATAAAAGAAAAATTTTGTTCAAAAAGATTTCTTTTATTTAAAAAGAAATCTTTTTGAACAAAGTTCTTTTGTTCAAAAAGATTTCTTTTTAAATAAAATTCCTAAAACAACTTGCGTATTTATAGAAAATGATTGATCTTGATATCGCTTTAAATAAAATATAAAAAAATGGTGTCACGTTTTTTTATATTCTATTCGAGATTTCTTGTTAATATAATTTTTAGTTAAAAGCTTATATTATGTTTTAACAACATATAATACATAAATAAATACATTTATGCGGCTAATTTTTTGTGAGTCTTTAAGTATATCAAGTAAATTTTTTTTTTTTTAATTATCTTCGCTTCCAACAAGGCTGCAAGCAACCACTAATTAGTGTTGGAAGTTACTGGAAGAGAAAAGATGAAGATTGTAGAGCAAGATAACGATTGACAAACGACTTAAAAGATTGCAAATTATATGAATGAGGAAAGCAAGTTGAAGGAAGCAAATTCCAAAGAACTGATGTTCGAGGAAAAAAATTAGACGAATAAGAGTTTTTGGAGCACTTAGGAACAGTAACAGAAAAAGGATGAGACTTAATTGAATGACAAGTAACATGAGAATGAATTTTAGTAGATGACACAAGAGACGCTAGCTCTTTAGAGCAGTGCCCATTATAGTATTTGTAGAAAAGAGAAAGAGAGGCAACATTACGACGATATGACAGAGGTTGAAAGTTGGCTGCAAGAGCAGGTCCAACTAAGTTTACAATGAAAAATTTAATAGTTGAGTAACTTTAGTTATTTAACTGGTTGTTTTGATTTAATTTAAAGGTAAATTTACTGTCATGTACTTTGTCCATTCAGTAAATCAAATATAACTTTAAAATATTATTGGCTTCCATGCAGAGATTTAAAGTAATTTAAAATCAAAAGCGCTTGATGTTGAATAATTAATTCGAGCCCTGTAGTATATCTATATAAAATGTTTGTGAGACTTTTTAATTTTTTTGGCACTTTAGTCTTTTATAGCAAGTTAATTATAACCCCTACTTGAGGTTAAGAATAGGTGTTCAAAATTCTTGGATGGTAAAAATTCTCAGTCCTGAATGTTTACCTTTTTAATTAAACTTGCAGATCAAGACAATTTTACTAAAATAAAATTGCCTTGAATCAACACTTTCAATTTGCTAAGTTTAGAATGCGCTGCATTCTTAATTTAGATCTTTGTTATAACTTTTTAATATGTGTTTTGCTATATTATGACTATTTCAATAAAGTAAAAAAACTTCAGTTACATATCCAATACGCTTCTGTTCCCCTAAATTCTTTTTTATTCTTCCCCTAATAATATACTGTTCCCCTAAATTCTTTTTTATTCTTCCCCTAATAATATACATATACAGACACAAACATGTATTTAAACTATTGTTGATAAAATATGTTTTAGATTGTTTATATGATATCCCAGCAGATGAACAATATATACACTTGCCATCACCACATTTTCTAAGAGGAAAAGTAATAATTAAAGTATGTTTTAATCTTTTTTTATATAAATTATTTTTTTTATATAAATTCTTTTATATAAATATTATATGTGTATATATATATATATATATATATATATATATATATATATATATATATATATATATATATATACATATATATACATATATATATATATATATATATATATATATATATATATATATAATATATATATATATATATATATATATATATATATATATATATATATATGTATATATGTATGTATATATACGTATATAGGTATATATTTATATAGGTATATATTTATATATGTATATATATATATATATATATATATATATATATATATATATATATATATATATATATATATATATATATATCAGGTGAAATGTATTTCATCTGATGATTGCTATAGCATGAAACTTAAAGTTGTGAAATAAAAAAAATACAAAACTAATTAAAAAAAATATAAATCTTAACAAATAATAAAATAAAATTAAAAAAAAACAACATAAAATTAAGAAATATTTTTATTTTAGTTCATAAGTGTATCACTACAAAGAATTTAGAAAAAATTGAAATAAAAAAAAAGGTTGCAGTCACAAATATAATATAATAAGAAAAAACATTTAGTATTTTTTATTAGAATAATATCATAAAGTTACATAGTTATTTGTACTTAATTAGTTCAACTGAATAATAACAACTAACATAAAAAAATTTTTTTTAAATTTTTTACAATTTAAAAATAGAACACAATTTTTACAGTTATACGTAATATAAGAAATTTTTTTGTTTTAATTTTTTACAATTTAAAAATAGAACACAATTTTTACAGTTATACGTAATATAAGAAAACTGTTTTAAGATGTTTGTTATTAGTATGAAAAGCTAGTTGTTTCCTAGTTAATTTCCATACTCTATTTCAGTATGCCATAATTTAAAACGGTGATACACAAAGACCTGGTTTGCCTGGACATAAAGGGCAAATGGTCTTGGCATCCCTTCGAACACCTTTTTTAGAACATACACGGCATCTTGCCTGTTGCTTTTTCCAAGTTGCAATAGGAACTAGTATATCAGCAAAATGTCTCAATATTAGACTTGGTTAAGCATCTCCATTTTCTCCTTTTTTTATAAAATCAACTGAATTGTTACCATCAAATTTAAGATATTAATTTCCGCTTCTATCGCGAATAAGACGTGTTTTTAAGGAGGAGAAAAATTTAAAAAATTTTTAATATTATGGTATTAAAAGCTTTGACTTTGAGGCTCTAGAAAAAATAGTATCAGCTTTAGAAAAAGCAATCAAAGCTAAAGACGACCAAATAACAGAAAAAAACCATCAAATAGAAGAATTAATAAAAAAGTTAGAAGATAAAAATTGTAATGATGTAAGAGGTAATAAGGAGCTTTGGACTGATGTTGTAAAAGGTAAACAGAAGAGAAAATCAATAAATCAACTCAACCTGATTAATGCAGTAGCCAAAGAATGGAATGAACAAAAAATGCAAGAAAAAAATGTAAATATTTTTGGTTTAGCAGCATCTACTAATAAAAACAAAGATTTTGACAAGGATAAAAAAAATGTGATAAGTATTTTTAACAAAATTGATACAAATGTTAATATAGAACACATTATCAAGTTAAAAACAAGGAACGAATATCAACCACCTTTTATTATTGTCTTAAAAGATAAACATGAAAGAAATAAAGTTTTAAAGTCATCAAAAGTATTAAAAGACGACGACTCGTTCTCGAAAGTATTCATAAATCCTGATCTTACAGAAGCAGAAAGACATAAAGCAAAACTCTTAAGAGAAGAATGTCACTGAATGAACACTGAAATAAAACAAAGAAATGAAAATAACTATTATTTCAGTATCAGACATGATCGAGTAGTGAAAATCACTGTATAGCAATTACCAAAAAACTATAAGATTAACAAAATTGATTATCAAAAATCAACGGACAGGAACAAAAAAACCATCAACAAAGTATTTAAAAAAATAAATTACGAGTCAAAATCAATTGAATCAATAAACGTATTATCTGAAAATAGAAAAAAACTAACAATTAATAATAACGACATAACAGAAAATTTCTTATCATGTTGGTATACAAATGCTACATCGTTAAATTGTAAATACAATGAATTTATTGCTGAAATAGTCACATCCCACCCACAGATACTTTTTATCAGTGAAACATGGTTTAATGAAATGTCATTAAGTAATGTTTCTGGTTATAATATATTTCGCAAAGATCGAATAGGTAGACGAGGAGGAGGAGTATGCATACATGTCAAAGAAAATATTAAATCTGTTACAGTTTCTGATAAAATGTTAAATGATGACGATTTAGAGCAAGTTTGGACATCATTGCATATAGACAATGAAAAGATACTTTGCGGATGTATTTATAGGCCAGGCACAATTGACTATGAACTTAATCTAAAAATTAAAAGAAGTTACAATCTATTGATTAAAAGAAGTTACAATCTATTGATAAAAAGTAAATATTTCAGACTACTGATATGTGGAGATTTTAACTACTTTTCTATTAAATGGAATAAAGAAAACATCGGCGAACTTATTAATAATTCAGATAATTCTGCCAAATTAATTCAGATATTTCTTAAAATTCTCAGTTCTTAAAATGTTTAAATGATTGTTTTATAACACAAAACGTAATTAAACCAACTTTTCAAATTAATGAATTTAAATCCACTAATGTTCTTGACTTAATATTAACAGAATCAAACAAAATAATAATTGATTTGAATCATTTTGATAATTTGGGTGCACTTAGTCACGGTCATCAGATCCTAAAGTTTTTATATAGCTTTAGGAATAATTTAAAAAAAAAGGAAACTGTAAAAAAAAATATAACTCTGTACAAACACGGCAATTATAATGGCTTTTCCGATATGTTAAATAGCTATGACTGGCATCTTGAATTCAAAAATTTAGATGCTAATGTTTCATACAACAAATTTGTCAATATTTATAACAAAGGACTTATATATTTCATTCCAACAATTACAAAGGGAGTTGTTAAAACAAAAGCGCCTTGGATGAACTCTAACTTAAAAAAGTTAATTGGAAAGAAAAGAAACCTCTGGAGAAAATGTTTACATAATCGTTTTTTAAACAAAGGAAATGTATTAGAATACAAATCAATTAGAAATAAAGTAAAAAAAGAAATTAAGAACTAAATTAAATTATATGAAACTACCATCACCTTAAACATTAAAAAAAACCCAAAAGCAATTTATGCATATAAAAACAAAAAATCAAAAGTTAAAGAAGGAATTAACGCATTAAATGTAAACGACAAACTTGAAACAAATTATTTATCAATAGCACATTTTTTAAATAACTATTTCAGCTCTGTTTTCACCAATGAAACTAGTGATAATATACCATTCTTCAAAAATAGGACAAACATTATTTGTGAGGACCCTACTTTTTCACCGGACACATTTTCTATAATTCTGAAGTCACTAAATCCAAATAAATGTATAGGAGTAGATGGAGTTCACCTTTAAAATGTTGCGCAGATGCGTTCTCCCTTCCTTTATCGCTTATTTTTAATAAATTGTATGACACAGGAATAATTTCATCGATGTGGTTAAATGCTAATCTAACACCACTATTTAAAAGTGGAGATAAATCAGAACCATCAAGCTATCGACCAGTATCACTTACTTCAGTTATAAGTAAAGTAATGGAACGTATCTTAAAAGCTACATTTATGTCGCACTTAGAAAATAACAATCTCTTGACTAAGGAACAGCATGGATTTTCTAAAAAAAAAACTGTTGTACAAACCTTATAGAATCTATGGATCTAATAACTCAAGCAATTGAAGATAATTTACCAGTAGATATTATTCTCCTGGATATGAAAAAAGCTTTCGACTCCGTGCCTCACAACAGATTGTGTCTTTAACTAAAAAGTTATGGTTTTAACTATAAAGCAGTTAGATCGTGCAAAAATTTCGTATGTAACAGAGTGCAACGGCGAATTTTCAAATTAGTCTCCAGTTACAAGTGGAGTATCGCAAGGGTCTGTCTTGGGTCCATTTATGTTTATTGGTTATATAAACGACTTACCGAATGAGTTATAAACAAATTGTAAAATGTATGCTGATGATATTAAACTAATTAACATAATAAGATTAACTTCTAATATAGAAAAGACTCAAACAGATCTAGACAAATTAATGACATGGTCACAATTATGGCTATTAAAATTTAATGTCAACAAATGTAAACGCATGCATATAGGTAGCAAAAATACTAAGCATATATAAACAATGTATGATTCAGTGTTAAATAGAGTTGAGCTACCAGAAACCAAAATTGAAAAAGATTTAGGAGTCTTGATTTCAAACAACTTAAAATGGTCAAGTCAAGTTAATTATGTGTCTGGTAAAGCTAATAAAATGTTAGGAATAATAAAACATTCATTTAAAAACTTAGACATAAACGCATCTAAATTATTGTACACCTCTCTTGTAAGACCGTATCTAGACTACGCAAATTTAGTGTGGTATCCTTACTTAGAACAAGATAAAAAAAAAATTGAATCGATACAACGTAAAGCAACATGAATAAAATGTCTTCAAGGGAAAAACTATGAAAGTAGATTAACCTACTTTAAATTAATGACTCTTGAAAAATGACGCGAACGTAATGACCTAATCCATCTTTACAAAATAGTAAAAAAAAATAGATAATTTAACATTGGAATACCCACCAGATTTAATAGCTTCAAATACGAGAGGTCACAATATGAGATTTCATAGACAATTAACTAAAAATCCAAAGAGGTACTATTTCTTAAACCGTGTTATAAACAGCTGGAATAACTTAGATCAAAACATTGTGGATTCTAAGACACTTAAACAATTTAAATCAAAGTTGGACTTGAAATAAATCATCTGTTAAAGTCTAGATCAACTAGGCTCCATACATAGTCATTGTACATGTACACAGTTATTAAATAAATAAATACCATGATGCAGCAACATTATGTTGAAACTTTAAGAGTTTAGTGTTGGGATTTAGTTTTCCTTGTATAAGATGTAACTGTTTAACATTAATATGCAGCAAATGTTAATTTTTTATACCATTTCATACTTTTTTTGGCAATTGAATAAGGTTTTAACATTTGATCGTGTTTGTCAACTGAACCCGTATTATAGTTGTACTCTACAATACATCTTGGTTTTGTGTTTACTGAAGGTGAAGGTCTTCCTCTGCAACTTTTTACTGGAGATAGATTTCATCATGTTGACTACTAAGCATAATAACATTGTTTTATTTGTGTACTTTAAACTTTTTTGTTCTGGAGATGTTACTGAATTGGTTGACAATGAGGTCAATCATGGGACTGGAACTGACAATGATGCCTTCCAAAAAATTCCCTTGACAACCATTAAATCTTCACAGTTAAATGCTTCAAATTCTGTGAGTTTTTAGTTGGCTCTTAGTTGTAATTGCTGTTGTTGTTTTTGTTGTTGTTATTGATATTATTATTATTTTAAAAAATCTCTAACAAATAGTAATATAGTGGTAATATATGCGGTAGTGGTGTAGTGGTAGAGCGCTCGCTTCATAAACGAGTGGTTCCGAATTCGATCCCCACCACGTCCCTGGTAGTACCGCGCTCAACTCGTTTCTCCGCGCAGCGGCCTTGTTCGTCAAGGTTCGTGTTTCGGAGTTATAGAGTTGAGAGAGGGTTATAGCCACAAAATAAGTAGCCTCCTCGTCTGTAGTGGCCTTCTCGGCCTTCTCGGAGGTGAAGTAAAAAAAAAAAAAAAAAAAAACATAGAAGTGGGCCAAAACGAAATGAAGCAATTTCATTAGTCAGAACATTTGCATTTTTTACAACTAGTGGAATGCGATTTGATCAAATTGTTCCACATGTTGTTGTTCCATAGTGGTACAGAAAGTGGAAATTATTTAAAAAAACAATTTTATTTTTTCTGATAGTTAATAATTAACATGCTTTTAGATTGATTGTTGTATAAAAATACTTCTGTATTTTTTAATAAAGTTATATTTTGTGTTTAGAGCAAAAAGCTTGCATTCAAATCTTCAGAGTCAATATCTAGTAATGGAGATGTAAGTGAAGAAGAAGAAGAAAAAGAAATTTGTTCTGGAGATGTTACTGAATTGGTTGACAATGAGGTCAATCATGGGACTGGAACTGACAATGATGCCTTCCAAAAAATTCCCATGACAACCATTAAATCTTCACAGTTAAATGCTTCAAATTCTGTGAGTTTTTAGTTGGCTCTTAGTTGTAATTGTTGTTGTTGTTTTTGTTGTTGTTATTGATATTATTATTATTTAAAAAAATCTCTAACAATAAGTAATATAGTTAACTTTAAGAAGAAGAAATCAATAAAAACCAATAAATCAAAAATAAATGTCATGACATAATTAAAAATTAAAGCAATAAATATTATTTATTTACCGACCACATTAGCACAGTATACTCCCAATGGTGTTTTTATGTGAAACTTTTTGTATGTTAATCTGAGCTTAGAGATAATTAAAAATTTATCATTTTATTGATGATTATTGAAGATATATTATGATATTGATGATTATTATTTTATGATTCAAGATTTGTTATTTTATTTTTGTTGTTAAATCTAGCCTGAAGAATCAAAAAATGTAAAGACAATAAAACTTGCAAAGGAATTCTCTGATCTTGTTGTATTATGTAAATTAGTGCGTTTTCAAAACTTTACTTTTTCTTCTGAACAGCGTAAGTGTTTCTATGATTTTCATAAGAACATATGTTATCTATAATTAATAATATATTTTTAAAGATTATATAATAAATAATATTAAATTGATTCATGATTTGTTTGCTAACATTTTTTCATCAATTGTTGTTTCTAGAAAATGTTTTTATTTCTATCAAAAGTATTGAAGTAAAATGCTTTTAAGTCTTTTCTTGATTAAGAAGAAAAATTAGGAAAATATTCATTATCTGATTCAAATGATTAACACCTTTTTACATCTCCCCATAACAGTGTTTATGTTTTAAAAAGTGCACATGACCAAATAAAATTTCCTTAGCAAAATACTTGTATAGTCTCCACTAAAAAGTGGAGTGAATTTTCACAAAAAAGTAAAAAATTTCAAAATTTTAAAAGCATGTCTTAACAAATAAAAGTGTTTTTTTTTTATTATTATTATTAAATAAAATTATTTTAAATTAAATAAATAACTGTATTTAAATACAAAAAGTTTTTTAATTTTTTGTATCTACAAACCAGTAATATATATCAATAGATACTGTATAATTTAATTATATTATATAGTTTAATTATATTTTATAATATAAATAGTTCATATTATATAATGCTCAACTTGATGCTCATTTGTTTTTAAATTCAATCTTTTATTTTCTTCAAAATTAATTAATGGGTCCTAATAACCTGCAGATGGTCCTAATAACCTGCAGATGGTCTGAATAAAAATTAAAGAAAAACCTAATTAAAACTTAATAAAGAAAATTAAGAATTCTTTCCTTGTTTTTTTTATAGAAAGTTACAATTTTACAATTAAAAGGTATAAAGTATTCAACAATAATTGTAAACTCATAAGAAACATTTATTTTTATTTTTTTTATATAGTCATTTAAAATGACTATATAAAGAATAATTATAGAAATGGTTGGTATTTTACCCATATTTTACAGGTCATCGTAAGTCCATTATTCCACATATTTTTAAGTTTATTTCCATATGCTTTTTAAACTTTTTATACCAAATATATAAAATTATTTTTCTACTGCTTATTAAAAATTATTGAAGTAAGGAATAAGTATAGAAATGATCGGTGTGAAATTTTACAGACTTACAAAGACCTTTATTTTTTAAGCCGGAACGGCGAGTTTTATAATATTGTATTATATTATAATGGTTAATTATATAGTATATTTTTGTATATTCCCCGATATTTATATTTGTGTGTTACATAATACAATATATACTATTTAAATAAATGTTAAATTAATGTATTATATGAGTATGATTCTTAATCTAGCTAAATGATAAATAAAAAGTATTTAGTTTGACATAAAATTTTGATTAACATGCTTTAATGTTTGTCATAAATGCTGCTGTTGACTCAGACTTTAAAGGTGTATATATATATATATATATATATATATATATATATATATATATATATATATATATATATATATATATATATATATATATATATATTGTTCGCGACATTACGAATGTCCAGATTGAGAGAAGCTGTTGTGTTGGACTTTTTGGAAATGTCAGACTTATAAAGATTTTGAAACTTATTGAATGTTCTTCAATATACAAATATTATGTACATATATATAGAACTATATAGTTTTATGTGAAATTTATATTTTTGTATATATAATTTATACTATAAACAAAAAAAGCCTGAAATTGATGTTTGTTTCATTCAAAGCTACTCTTCCAATTTCATTACTTTGAGTAAACATTAAAAAATTAACAAGGGTATCAATTGCTTTACAAACTTCTTCGATCGTTGGCTCTGTCATCATTTCATCAGTTGTTTTGTTTCCTTCTACTTCTTGCCATTCTTTGTCAACTACATCAATAATATCTTGAATTATTTCTTTATCTGTTATCACTCCATACATTACAGAAACGTCATCATCAATTGTTAACATATCTTTGCAACTAAAATCATCCCAAATAAGATCCTCATCACACTGATGTAACTGATCAATTGAATTTTTTAATCAATAAAAGATATAAGTGAAAATGTTTAGTTATGTTTAATTAAATTTAAGGCAACAATATTTTATTTTAGAGCATTCAAATTTTATAAATATACTTATAAAAATTATAAATAAATTTTGTTTTGTAAGTATTGGTGGTTTTCTTATAGATACAGATAATTCTTATTTGACAAGTTCTTTTAATATTATGCATTTTTCAGTTATAGTTCTACTTTCTTTTAGCAACAATAAACATTTTAATAAATAGAATTTAATCAAATATTAATCAAATTAAAAGATATCAGTAAAAGTGTAAAGTTTGTTAAATTATATTTGGCGCAAAGGTATTTGGTTTTTCAAACATTCTAAGTATTGAATTTTAATTGATGTTTTTGAATTTTTAATATAATAGTCAATAATAGATAGAGTTTATTAAAAGCTTAACTGAATTGAAGATATTCCTGAAAATGTTTAGTTATGTTACATTATATTTGGTTTAAAGGTATTTTTAAGCATTTAAAGTTTGGAATTTTTGTTATTTTATTCACTTATATGCGGTTAAAAAAAAATTCTAGTTGAGCGAAGTTTTTTTGCCAAAGGAACTTCAAAAAACAATACGAGTTAGCGAAATCAGGGTACTACTTAATCAGGGTATGATAATTTTATAGTACATTGACAGAGAAAGTTCAAGGAGAATTAAAAATCTGTCTGACTTATCAAGGGGTATAAAAGTCAGACTATATAGGGGTGAGCAAAAGCAAATATCCGGTTCAGTTTGTTGAAATCCGAATCCCATACCAGTTTTTTGGATAATTAAAACTCTAAACTGATCTCGGTTTTATCGGTTATCCAATTTTCAGTTATCCCTTACAATCAGATCAGAAACCGAATTTATCCGAATCCAAAACTGATGATGCAAATTGGATAGTCTTCTGCTTTTGTAAACATATTGACTAGTTTTTTATATACTTTCGTGTGCTAATACAAGAGGATGCGAGAATAAAAGGAGTAGTTAGAATTTTAGTCTAGATCTATGAAACAAGGAGGAGTGTCTATCTTACCAAAAGGGTGGGTGGAAATTTTTTCTTAAATTTATTTTCAATTTTTAGACGGCCTATAACATAGGCTAACGAAATTTTACTTTTTTTACTTTTTTTTTGCATACAATATGTTTTTCTTATAGTATTTCTCTTACTGATTTAAAATATACAATCCTTTTTCTTCTACCACATCAAGTTTTAAAGATATTAGGGTTCAAATCCCAAATATTTGGGGTAAATTCCTAATATTGTCAAAAAAAAACTTCTTAAAAAGTATATCAACCTGGATCTCAAAAAAATTTTTAGAGAGATTTTAAAAATAATGTTTGTTTGTATTAAAAATGAACATTTTTTATTATATTGATGAAAAACATTTTTTTAGATTAATTTGATACTCATTTGCATTTTTTCACTATATTTTTTTGCCAATAAATTTCAAATAAAATGTTTATGTTTTTTAAAATCTCTGTAAAAAATGGTTCTTTTGAGACCCAGTTCTGGAGAAGTTTTTTTTTTGATAATATTAGGAACGAAAAAATGGAGATGACAAGATTTTTTATAAGTCAATGATTTTTAAATTCTGATTACACTGAAAGATTTTATTTTTTTATTTCAAGGACACGACCTCCTGTACTAAAGGCAGACTCTGAAGCAACAGTAGACACAGGAATAGCAAGAATATCTTTAGCTATCTCAGCAAGTGTGGGATATTTATTTTTGTTATCCTTCCACCAATCCAACATATTTGGGCATGATTCATTAGATTCACGTTTATCTTCTAAACATTTTTCCCACTCAACCTTTTTCTTACTTATTTCAGCTCCTACTTCTATTTCAAATGTGTTTCCCAAATACTCTGAAAAATCAAACATCTTTCCATTTTCTATGTCCTTATTGTAAAATCCGGTAGTAGAGGTCGAACTTAAACCTCGTAATGTGGCTATACTCTCCGGTTTAAGCATTGAAGAAGCATAAAAAACTTAAATAATGAAGAAAATGTGGATGTTATATTCTAAGACAAAAACCTAGCTCTTTCAATCCCAAACCATTTCTTTACCATCCAATCAATGTAAATCTTTTTTTTTTCTCGGATCAAGTTAGCAGAAATAAACATTAATAAAGTTTATCAATGTTACCCCAATATTTATCATACTTAAACTTCATTTGTGCTGCCATTTCCCTAACAATTTCATCTTCATAGGGAAGATGTTGGGAGAGCACATAACCAGTACCAAATATAGTATCAATATATAATTAAATGTTGTATAATGTGACAACTTCAATGTAGCATCGTAAAATATTTTTAAGAAGGGCAGAAAAATTGACATTTTTTCCACTCCTCGGTTGTTATATAAATTAGAGTCTTTCTAAATCAAATTAGCAGTCTTTAAATTTCAAAGCAGACTCAAGCATCAAGTTTATCGAATTCCATCTAGTTTCAACATCAAGACAAACAAGACTTTTATTATCTAGTTTTTCTTCATCAACACTAGCTTTGAATTTTTGTAACCTAGCAAGAGACCTTACATACTTTACAAAAGTTTTTGTAACCTAGCAAGACCTTACATACTTTACAAAAGTACAAGCTTTTCTTATTGAAATATCAAGGTCAGCTAGGCCATCTTTCACAACTAAGTTTAAAATGTGCGCAGCAGACCTCATGTGCAAAAACTTTCCATCTAAAACACTACACTCCCATTGATTAAATCGTCATTTTAAATAATCAAGAGCAACTTCATTAGAACTTGCATTATCTACTGTCATAGTCAAAATATTTTTAGTTTCCCATTCATTTAGACACTTTTCAACTGCTCTACCAATAGGTTTTCCAGAATGACAAGCAATCAGACAAAAATTAATCACTCTTTTATACGAATTCCAATCATCATCTGTAAAATGAGCAGTGAGGCACATATAACTCAGATTTCGACCAGAAGTCCAAGCATCAGTTGTTAAGCAGATTCTAGAAGACAACGTCTTAGAAATAATTCATTACCTTCTTCTTTTCCCCTATAAAAAAAGTGTAACAATCTCTTGCAGCAGTGAAATGTGAAGGTATTAAAAATTAGGTATGCATGGGTTTACAAAATAAACGAAAACTGCCTCGCTCTACAATCATAAGGTAATTCATCCATAATTAGCACCTTCGCAAGTGCATATGTAGAAGCCTCTTGATTGAATATCCATGGTTTCAAGATACTAAAAGTCTCAGTAGATTCATCTTTATTGCTTATGTTTTGGGATTTGAAAGTCAAGATTTTTTGCTTTTTATCTAAATTAACATATAACAACTTCTACCTCTTAGTATGATTAGCTAAACATGTGGTCCTGTTATTAGGGCTACAACCGATTAATCTATGACAATAAACGCACATAGCCAAATGTGGATCATCTGTTTTTTTATAATGATTGGTGGTGACTTGGCTGTTGATTAGATTCATCCATATTTATTAAATTCACTACATCAATGTTATCGTTAAACTTAGAAGACATTTTTAGCCTGCATAAAAAATAAAAACATAAGTAAAATTCTGATTCATACAAATATAATATTTTGAAATTGAATGAATGCAACAGAAGCTGGATAACACATGTAATGCAGAAAATATAAAAAAGAATTATCAAATATGTGCGAGAACTGAGATATTACTATATTACAAACTTGTGAAATTGATGTATAGATTACTAATTGTAATGTTTCATGTTTTTATTTTTCTAGTAGTTCTCCAAAGGGAATTACTTTTTCTGCAATCGCTAATCGATTGTTAGAAATTAATGTTCAAAGGGAATTGTTTGCGTAACAATCATTACACTAATATCCATACAAAATTTCTTACTATGAAAATCAAATTCAATGGGTAAAAAACATATTACTATACATCATGCATACCTTCGCATACCTTCGATTTAAGGATCTTGAGCAAATGAAAGAAAACTTTGAGTCAGTAAATATCAAGACTGTTGATAAAAGATAAAAATGTTTTGTTTGTATATTTCTCTAAGCTATTTCATTAAGTATTATTTAGTATTTATAACATAACAAATTATGTAGCAGTCCAATGCGCAATACTTGCGTAGGTAGCGGTGTGATCCTTTACATTCTCAATTCTATTTATTTTATTATACTTAACAATCTTCGTGTAATTAATACATATTGTGAGTCGATAAGCGTTGATATATGTTTATAGGTATCTTGGGAACATATAAAATTATTATTTTTTTGATAAGTGCAGAAAACCTGATCAGATCAGGATATCCGATTTATTAATAATTCGTGATTCAAATGTTTAAAAAAAAAACAGATCGGATAACCAGATTTTTCCAGTTCAGATATCCTAATTTTAGGATTTTTTAAATTGGATATTGGACCGGAAACTAGAATATCTGGTTAATCGGATATTTTTGCTCACCCCTACTGCTATATCTGCCAAGTAGTAAAATCAACAAAACTAAGAACAAAAAAAACCCTGAAAGAAGACCTATGCGAAACAGCAACTTATTTATACAGGTTGGTTGAACCAGTTATCTGCAATAGAATTATTTTGGTAAATAGTAATTTTATGCCCCCTTTCCCACTTTTAATTTTCTAAAACTAACTTTTGGGATAAATGAATACTTGTTTTTCATTGAATATTAAACTTTTGCATATGTGATTCATCAATACAAAGATAATAAAATTAAAAAAAAAAAAAAAGAAATTAGTAATAGTTTAGACAAGTTAGACAAGTATATAAGTTTGCAGAATGTAATGTTTATAACTTATATAAGTATTTATGTTTACAGAATGTATTATATATTAAATAATATTATGATATGCATTATGTTTATGAAAAATTATGATTGCAATAAACTAACTCTTATGTAATAGTGTAACTATATAAGTTTATGTTTATACATTTTTATATTATATTTATAGTTTTTTTATTTACAACTATAAGTACATTTATAGTTGTAACAGGTTTACTTGTAACAAAAAACATTTAATTGTAACAAAAAATGTTTGTTGGTGCAATTAAATGTGTTTATTTATTTATAGAAAAATATTGGGAAATGTGTTCATTCTCTGAAAACACAGCAAGAGAACTATGTAGGATTTTTCCAGAAGAATTGGTTATTCACAACAAAAAGTTTTTAAGTCATGTGTATCCAAACAATGTGCGATTAGATTCAAGCAATTTCAATCCTGTTGAGTTTTGGGCTTGTGGGTGTCAACTAGGTAAATGTTTATGTAATATGGATAATTTGTTATTAACAGTTATGTTAATAACAATTTTTAATAATTATAATATATTTTTAATAATTATAAATATCTTTTTTTAAAGTTGCTATGAACTATCAATATGCTGGAATTGCAATGGATATTAATCGAGGCTTTTTTTTAAAAAATGGTGGATGTGGTTATGTTTTAAAACCTTCTGTAATGAGAGAAGGTATTGAGTTTTTTTTTCTTTTTAATGTTATACTGAAGTATTTTAACAGTCAATTATTATATCCAGCATTATTACTTGAGAAAAAACGTCAAGTGAAAAAACACAATTGATTTTGTCCAAATAAAGTTGGCAAAATGAAAAAAACTCAAGTTACTTTTGTTTTCTTAATTGGAGACAAAGAAAATTTACTTGAACTGACCTTTTTTATCAAGATTTAAAAGTTAGAAGAAATTGAATGAAAAAGAAAAAAAAAAAATTGCCAATAAACGTTCCATTAAACAATCCATTAAAGATAAGTTCCATTAAAATTCTTATTAATTATGCACCAAAAAATTAAATTAAGTAAACACAGCTCACTAATGTTTTTCTACCATTACATTCAATATTCTAAAAGCTTTTAATGATTAACAAAAATAAAGGGAAAAAAAAGAATAATAAATAACATTATGCATGAATAATTTATTTACTAAAATAGTTACTTTTTTTTAGAAGTTTCATATTTTAATTCAAACATGAAACAGGAGATACCTGGTGTATGTCCTGTCACTCTCACTATAAAGGTATTTTTATTTTTTATTCTTCATAATTCTAATTCAAATTTTTTATTTTATTGAAATCTTTGTAATATTTGTTGTAAAGTAAAAATTACTTTGAAAAAAATAATATATAGGTATTAAATTTTTTTTCAATTTTTTTTAATGAATGATGTAATGAATGAATGTAATCTTTTTGTAAAAGTAGTGTTAAAAATATTGTGTCAAGTATCATGAGAATATTTATATTATATTATTATTTATATATTATGCACTTTAATTATTATGACTATTAAAGAATCATATTGTGATTTAAGTTTAAACAAAAATGAAAGTAAAAAAGCTTCTCAGTAGTTCAATTGTTCTTGTACTTTTAAATGATTTTTTTTTACTGAAGAGTTTCCAAATTTTTTTAATATCAGGTACAATGTTTTTTTATTGTTTAAAGTTTGTAAAATCTAAAATATATAGAGTGATTATCATTGATGTTTTGCATGTTAATTGCTGTAAATCATGTTTTTCATATGAAGACAGTTTTTGGTTTTCAGTTCTGCCCTTGTTTAAGGTGATAAGTGGCTATCAGTTGCCCAAGCCGCGAGGTTCAGCATCAAAAGCAGATACTGTTGATCCATATGTTGTAATTGAGATGTTTGGTTTGCCTGCAGACTATCGCTTTGAACGAACAAAAACAATTTCAAATAATGGCTTTAATCCTGTATTTGATGAAACTTTTGAATTTCGTGTTTTATTACCTGAACTCGCTCTCCTGCGTTTTTTTGTTTTGGATGATGATCATATTGGTGATTGCTTTATTGGACAGTACACTATTCCTCTTGATTGTGTTAGACAAGGTATTTAAATTTATATTTTACTGAACAATACAAAATTCTTGATTATGTTAGGCATGGTGTTTAAATTTAAATTTTACTGTAGAATGCACAATTTTTGATTGTGTTGAACAAAGTATTCATTTTTTGCATAATTTTATGTTTTTGTTAGACAAGGTATTTAAGTTAAAAGTACTTATTGTAAAAAAACATATTTTAAACATATTTTAAAAAAATATTATAATATATATTATAATTTTTTTAAATAAACATATTTTAATATAAATATATAGTTTACTAAGTAAGTGTTAGTGTCGACGAGGTATTTAAATTTAAAATTTGTATTTTATTTGTCAGTGAAAAAGCTGTAATGAATATAAATTGTAGCTTTATTTTTAAATGGTGAATGTGGTTGTGCCTTGAACAAAATGAGCAAACTTTAATTCTTTTATTATTTAAACATTTAATCACTTACAACTATGCACAAAAGTTAAATTGATTTTTTAATAACAACTTATTGGTTTTTCTCATAAAAATTTAAGAAAAATAGATTTTATTTTTATTTCTTCAATTTTTGTTATTTATGATTGTATTGGCAAAATACGTAAAAAAAATACATAACATATGTAACTACATAACATACATAACTACATAACATAGTTAACTACATAACATTTGTAACTACATAACATTTGTAACTACATAACATAAGTAACTATATAAAATAAGTAACTACATAACATAAGTAACTACATAACTTATGTAACTACATAATATTTGTAACTTCATAACAAACTTATTTACAATTTATAATTATAAATGTATCTACATATCAATTTATATCCTTATAATTTTTAGTAAAGTTATCATTATAGTTACTATTTGTAATGTTTTTTCATTCACATTATTATTAATATTATTATTATTTTTATTATATTATTATTGCAATTATTAGTATTATATTTATTTATTAGTGCTTTATTTTCCTTTCTTTTCTTTTCTTTTTTTTTTTAAATTTCCTTTTTAATCTTATTTTAAATTCTTTCTATGTTTTATTTATAGTTTTTTTTTTTAGGTGTCACTCCATTGACTAGTTTTTAACTATATGAGTGACACCTAACCTTATTTATTTGAGTTTATAAAATATTATTGTAAATTTTCATATTTAATGGTTAAATAAATGGATTTAAAAAAATTTCAAATCAAGTATAGTTTAAGTTAAAAGTTAGCATCACTTACTTTTATAACATTTTTGTTACATTTTTATTACACATTTTAATTATAAATAAAATCACTTAGTGGCTTTTTAAATGGAAAGCAGGTAAGTGTTTGCTAGCTTGTTTACTAAGATACTGACATCATCGCTTCAATTGTTTTTTATGTTACAATCAAATGAACTAGCTGATCAGACCCGTAAAATTATGGGTATTTGTAAGTCTATTCAACATCAACCTTTTTTATACTTTTTCTTTATATATATATATATATATATATATATATATATATATATATATATATATATATATATATATATATATATATATATATATATATATATATATATATATATATATATATATATATATATACATATCCTAGCTTTCTGGATCCATAAAATATCCTAGCTTTCTGGACCTGTATTTATACACCAAGATTGAAAAATATTCAAAATTTATCACGGGATGTCTTACAATAATTATAGCAAAATTTTTTTTTTAGTATATATCTATAATAATTATAGCAATATTTATAGCAAAAAAATAATAATATAGCAAAAAAAAAATTTTAATTTTTAAAATAAAGTTCAAAAGTTTTCTCATTTTTATAGATTTTTTATACACAATTGTTTATACTGTTTGCAAACTCAACATATGCTTAAGACATTTACACTTACAGAGATTTGTACGCAACATTATACAAATGGCAGAACTAAAAAGATCTTAGACCATTAAAAACTATAGACTATAAAACGCTAACGGATCATCCATAAATTGTGCAACGCTAAATTTATTTTTAAAAAAGAAGGAGATCTTAAGTTTCATTAAACTTAATTTTATTATTTTGATTGCTATTTTGATTTTTTATTTAACTTACAACTCTGCGAGAGAAAACTTTTGATTTTTATTTATTTGTTCATTAGTGAAATTTAGCGTTGCATAATTTATAGACAGTTCCTAATCTAAAAGTTAAGCCAAAAAATAATGGAGTATACTATTTTGAATGTTATCTGAATTCTGTCATTGTTACGCACTTGGTTTAGAATGTTTAATGGGGGCAAGGTAAAATAGCTGTAAAACTCTTAATTTCCCTATTTTATCAATATTAAATAATTTTCACTTTTAATTTTTTTTAAAAGTTATAAATTTAATAAAATGGTTTAATTTCAATATAAAATTAGAATTTTCGATTATCTTCTTATTTAAAATATACTTTTTGAACCCCCTTAACTGTTTTTAAAAAAGTTAGGATCGCCCCGTGGCAAGTTCAAATCATCAGCTTACTTTTTCTTTTCTTTTTTTGTTATTTAAACAAAAAAAAAAAAAAAAAAAAAAAAAAAGCAAAACAAAACAACTTTATATTTCTATAGATTTTATATTCTATATATAAATATGTTGTATACTCATTTTTCTTGCATGAACACAACTTAGTTGTAAAAAAAACTTGAAACGATTGAATACACAAGTATTTCAATCATGACACATATGCAACAAATTTCCCCCCGTTTTGTGATGTTTTTAGAATTTTTAGCTTTTATAAAAATCTTTTTGTTTGTTAAAGTCTATAATATTGTTACATATGTTTGTATATAATCTTTATAAAACTTTACAAGAAATTAAAAAAAAAAAGTTGCCAGTAATAGAACTCGAACAATGGCTTTATTGTTCAGAAGCTCTGCACGCTGACCACTTGGCCACACTAGCAAGTTGGCTTATGAAATTTTAAAACTATATAATAACTTTTTTAATGGAAATAAATACTATTGATCAAAATTATAGAGAGGTTGATGCAATGCAATTTTCAAGTGAAAGTCAAACTGTAAAACTTGATATATGTTTAATTATGTTTTAACCAGGGATGCAGAGTCCCAAAAGGATTCCAGCTTTATATCTCCATTTTTTTTTCTCGTTTGTAGTGTTCAGAAGCTTTAAACATGTTTGTTGACTAATGATCTGCCATAAAAAAAAATCACATTTTCTTATAAAACTTTTATTCACATTTTCTTATAAAATGAAGTGCTGCAACTCTTTCTCACTATTACTTTGGTTGCAATGGCTGCCAATAGTTTTGTGTCAAACATGCTTGAAAGGGCACTACTTCTATTAAGTTCAGCAATATTATATAGATAATCGAGCTAGTCTTTTTTAGTGAGACTTTTATCACTGTTTTTTGCAGAGATCTCTAAACATAGGCTTTATTATTCCTCATATAAACACAATGGAAACAAGCCCTTTAAAGCAAGCTATACTTGATTTTAAAACATTCATTTGCATTAAATATCTAAATTTGTGCACATACATTTGCTAGCATTACTTTCATTTGAAAGCTTCCATGATAATATTACATCTGTTAACTTTTGTGTGCTTAATAATTTGCATTTATAGTTTGTTTGTTTTTATTTGTTGTTAAAATTTTATTACTCAAAACTGTCATATTATTGAAAATCAAATCAACAAAAAAGTTTTAATTCAATTTGTAAGTTGTTTACAACTTTCATGTGATAATATTGCTTCCAACTTCTGTTGTCAACTTAAAATTTAAATTATTTTGCTTTTATAATTTCCAATTATAATAATTTTTTTTTTTTTTTTTTTGGAATTATAGTTATACAGTTTAAAACTTTCATTCGTGACAATTTTATTCAGTTTTATTGAAACTTTGATTCGTGGCAACTTTTATTCAGTTTTATTGAAAAAACTGGGATAATAATTTGGTAGAGAACCTTATAAATTGATATATTGGTTATAAAGTTAGGATGCTTTATAAAAACTTTAATTTGGGTTTGTAAATTTATTGACTTTTTAATTAACTTCTTATTCAATAAAAATAAAAATTCGGTTATCTGATAAATTACAGGTAAATTTTTAAATATAAATAAAATAAACAGGTATAACAATGTAATACCATTTTTGCTAAATACTTTTTTTTTTTAATAATAATTGGGGTCAATCAAAAATTTCATATAATCAATTTTTTCTATAACAAAGAATAAGCGTAGAACAATTAAATTAAGAGTGGATCATAAGTAGGCACCTTGCTTCAAAATAATCTCATTTTCAATAATCTGTTTTCAGTTTTTCCGCATATTATCATGTGATTGTGATCTTATGTTTGTCTCCATGGCTTCTTGAACCGCTTCCTTTGTCTGAAAATCCAAATCCTTGCGTTAAAATTCAAATGAAGAGAAAAAATGTCTGTCCAACAAGTTAAAGTTGGGGCTCTATGGAGGTTGAATGACATGGTTGACTTTTTTTATCAGCAAGAGAGTTACTGACTGCAGCAGACACATGCTAGCATTATTGTGCTGAAGGAGCATTGTGTTCCATGTTACCCTTTTTGAGCCTTTGTTGACAAAATTAGAATGCATATTCAATAGAAAAAGCATGTACACTTCTGAATCGACCGATTGTTCATTTGGAAGTACCTCAACATAGGCCTTTACATCAAATTAGGATCTCCTGACACGTTTCAGAGCTTCTTCACCCTTTGAAATTCAAGCGCGATTGTTACGTTTGCACCAGATCGATCTGTAGTAAACCCACATCTCATCCACAACAATTAGACGTTATTCAATTCATTCATTCAATTCCTCTTGTAAAAAAGGTTTAAAAAGCACTTTAATATTGCATTTAGTTTTATTTTAATATTTTTTCTACCAAATATTGATAATAACAAAATCTTTCAATAATATTTAAATATTAAAATACTTATAATAATCATAACAATCCAGAAAATACAAGTACCACTAACTTGAAGTATTTTGTTAACTTTTTTAATGATATTTTCAATTGTTGTTTAGTTTTTTGTTATTGTTGTTTAATTAATTTAATTTGAGATTGTTAAATCTTTAATAATCTAAAATTAAAAGAATTAAACAACAAAAACAAATTCGTATATTTTATGTTATACTTTTGTAAACAGATCACATTCATAATTTAAAGTTGAAAATAGTATATTCAGTTATGAATAGTATGAATATGAAAAATAGGTTATGGAATTGCCACAAAAAAAGAATGATTGGAAAGGAAAAGACAGGCTTAAAAGAAAAGATTATCTACGTTTATTATATTCAAACTATATTAATTATGAATAAAAAAAAATATTAATGTCACTGTACATTGATAAAAATTAATATTTAATGAATAATGGAAAAAATTAAATTTTTTATTTTAGCTTAAGTATAAAAAACTTTCTTTAGTTAACAAATCTAATTCCAGTATATCAATAATGTAGGTTAAATTGGATTTATACACCTATAGTAAAACTTTGCTGTAATAGCTATATTATCTATAAAAAATTATTATTTTATTACTAGGTTATAGAACAGTGTACTTACTATCTAGTGTTGGAGAAAAAATCGATAAAGCATCATTGTTTGTTCATGTGTCAATTTCTAGACAGTTTGAGACAGTATGTATTTTTTCATATTTATTTATATTTTATACAATCTTTTGTTATTTTTAATTCTATATAATGTCATATCTATTCATAATGGCCATTTCTACAAACGGAACCAAAATTTGCATGAAAAATAGTTTTATTTTTATCAGAATTCTAAGAACTTTATTTTTATTAGAATTCTAAGAAAGGATTTGGTATGAAGAAAAAAAAAGATGTAAGTTTTTTTTAAATATTTTTATATATTGTAGTTTTTTGATATTTCACAGCAGCTTTTTACTCATAATTCTTAATAATTTTTACTCACATTGGCTTAAGGCCAAAGTTCTGCTTTTGAGCATATGCTTCATAAGCAAACTCTATGGAAATAAAACTCCACTAGATGCCATTGTAGTACCACAATTATCTTTTTTTCTGTGCAAAAGCTGTGTTCATTTATAGACATTTTTACAACTATAGAGTGTCAGATTGTATAAAAATAATGTGTCTTGACTGTAGTTCAAGTATGTTTTTATACTATGTGATTGAAGTTATGTGAAAATATCATTTTGCATATGTATGTTGTTGTGTGTAAAAAATGTTCAACCCTCCGTCGAGCGCAATATTGAAGCACATGAAATCAGGCACAATGTGCACTTTAGACACAGAGTTAAAAGTTGCTGTTTTTAAAGGGATCCCCAACTGCTGAGACAAGTTGTGTTCATATTAAAGAAAATGTTTAAAAAAAACATTTTGGTTAAATTTTATTGATTAAAACTATATAATGAATACACACCAAATTTAAAATTTATGTTTTAGTCAAAGTTTGCTGTCTCCATTTTTTTTTGATTCTCGGAGTCTGTATATTTTTAGCCGCAATCTACAGACGCGATAATTAATACCATGTGTCTTTAATTCATAACAGTTTCAGTATATGACGTCATTGTATAAATTATTTTTTTCAAGATGTCGTATTATTTTTTTGCCACAATCTCCAAATCATGTTAATTGTATAACTTTTTACTAAATTCCAAAAAAATTTTATGATGCAATTAAAAATAAAATTTATAAAATTTATAAAAATAGAAATTTAATATATAATGAATAATTACAGTAAAATGTAATAATCTAAATATAAAACTAAATATAAACTAGATATTAAATGGTTTAAACTAAATATAAACTAGATACTAAAATGATAATTTTACTAAAGCGTATAAATTAATTTAAAGTATAAACTGAAAAAAAAAACAAGGGACTTGAATAAAACATATAAACTGAACTAAGTAGAAAATAAATATTAAACAAATTATTCAACTAATAACCGTTCAAATTAAACTAAATTAAAGTTAAAACAAATATTTGTAATAAAATATACAAAAAATAGTTATAATATAAATATAAAAACTAATAATCGCATTAACATGTTCGCTAACAGCCGAACAAAACCATTGTAGCAACCGCACATTTTTTTAAATAACATTTGAATAGCATAACATTGACAATTAATTAAATTCGATAATAAAAAAGCTTTTAACACACATCATTAAACAATAAGAAATGCAAAGTGTTAAGCACTTAACCATTATTTTTATAAGTAGTAACTAAAACATTAAGTTCAAAACAAACCTCGTTTAATGAAGAAAAGGATTTTTTTTTCTACAAAATACTTTGGTTATTACTTAACCTAATACTTAACACTTATACAAGTTAAGTTTCACAGTGTAAACGCTGTTTTATTTTATAACTAAATTTAAAGAAGTTTTTTTTATGAAGGATTATTCAAGGTTTTTTAATTTTGTGATAACTTTTTTATAATTACACAATATAGCTCTTATTTTTTCTTGATTATGTAGAGAATTATGTAGAGAATTAATTAAACCTTCAGAACAAACAAATTCTATGTGTCTAAAATGGAAATTTATGTACAAAACAAGATAAATTGTAAAGCATACTCGAAAGCCGCTACCAGTGGCTTGCAGTAGTGAAAGAGTTAAACCATAACTAAATGTAAATTAAACAAAACGAACAACTCTAATAAACCATATGAACTAAATATAAAACAAGAAACCGCATCATACTGCCTTTATTTTTTCTCTGCCTGCAAACTCTAATAATCACAAAATATATATAATTGTGTCATGATTTTGTAATAATAAACCAAGTAAAAAAAAAAATAGTAATAATAAACCAAGTAAAAAAATATATATATATATTTGTATAATTTTTTACTAAATCACAAATATTTTCTGTGATTTAGTAAAAAATTGTACAAATATTTGATTTTCTGATTGTAGTAAAAAAAAATACTTAATTTAAAAAAAAAAAAATGCTATCTTAAAAAGATATTGGGATGATGTCATATAATGAAACTGTTATGAATTAACACGCATGGAATAAATTACAAAGTCTGCAGATTGCGGCTAACATTATACAGACCCTGAGAACTAAAAAAAAATGGAGAAGGCGAGCTAAGACTAAAACAATCATTTTAATTTTGTTGGTATGCATTTATTATTTAGTTTCAATAAAAAAAATTTAGACCAAATGTTTTTTTTTAACATTTTCTTTAATATGAACACAACTTATCTCAGCAGTTAAGGATCCCTTTAACAACCCATATTAATACTAATTATACAAAAGTATTCACTTTTATATAGATATTTAAAAATAATTTTAAATTTTTTATGAAAAAAGTCAGTCCTATAATCAAATATTGAGTAATATTACAATTTAAGTAATAAAATAAAAAACACCCTAATTTCAAAATAACCAGACACATTACTAATACTAAACATCAGAGTTGTTAACAAGGCCAAAGTAGCAATGCCAAAGCCAATCTTTGGATCCTAATATGTAAGTATTCCAATGGTATTCATGCTTCATCTCTGTAGGTGCTCAAGTACCAGTTCATGGGACAACTCTTTTAGAAATAATTTTTTTTTTTTTTCAAGGTTGTTACCAATATAAATTACTTGTAAAATGATGCCAGCAACATTAAGTATTGTATAGAAAATTACCATTGGTTACTGTCTAGTCTTTTTGGCTCATGTTATAAGAAGTGCATATTTGATCTGCTACATCAACTCCACAATCTTTGGATATGTATTCCGGTTTCATTTGCTCTCCAGATTGAAGGTTAATGGTATCATCATCGTTGTGCAAACTTGATGTGTGATGTAGGAGACCAAAACTTTATCATAATTAAATCCAAATATGCTTGTCTTTGCTTTTCTACCTTTGACATTTATAAATGCAATCAGTAGCTGTTTTTTGTTTTTTCTGATGATCTAGGAAAAGGACCTAAGAAGTTTTCCTATATGCCGACATAGGCAAGCTTATTAGTTTTTAATTTATCAATAAGATAGAAGCTAGTAAACCAATTATCTGCTGTTATATTCTGACCAGAAACAAATAAAGGTTCAGCCATTCTCATCACCACATCACTTGGTTTGTTGCGAAAACAGAAATGGTCTTGTGGTTGTTGCCCAGCATAAATTTATAATTTAACAGTATAAAACATCCTGACATTAACTAGACTATATAGTTTAGTACCATATTTGTTTAGTTTAAAGGGTGTGTATTGCTGAAACTGACATCTACCTTTAAAGCCAATAGCAATTCATCAATAGTAAGATTTTACCCTGGACTAAAGTTTTTCTTACAATCGTCAACAAATGTTTCAAAAATAATTCAAACTGGGGCAAGGCAATTGTTTTCTTTTCTTTGATTTTGAGTTATTAGATCATCAAAACAAAAACAACAAATGTCTTAAACTGTTTGAGGCTCATAACAAACAGAATTTTTCGATGCCATCACCTTTTCATCAAAGATCTTCTAAACTCATTCAATTTGCTCTATATACTCATGCTAATTACAATAGTCCAATGAATGATTTTACCTCATTATGTCAGTGGATTTCATTTTTCTGTCGTACAAACTTATCTATTGCGAAGTCAATATAAAGATTTGTGTGACAATCAATTCAAATTTTCAATAAAAAAAATTATTTCAACATTCATATAGAGTTTTGGCATTTTTCGCTTTTTCAATGACTCTTTCGATGTTGACTTTTTTTTAATGGTTTATTTAGCCACTCTGTTTTTTTATCTTTGCCCATAAAAAAGGTTTCCTTCTTTGTCATCTTCTTCTGTTTTATTTTCAGGTTGCTCAGTTTCTGAAATAAGAATGCATTGCTCAACTTCATCATCAGAGTCGATATCACTTTCTTCTGCAAAGCCTTCAATTTTTGTGGGTTCTTCTTCAACTTCTTCCTCAAGTAACTTCCATAGTTTATCATATTGAGACACCGTTAAATTTTTCTTAAAAAAATAAATTATGACATAATTAAACGCAATGTGCACATTAGGCCATTTGAAGATTTTCTATTTATCCTTATAAAATATCAACAGTTAAGTATTACTAGTCTAAAATGAGAGCCTATCAGAACACACTGGTTGATTAATACTCTTTCCCTTATCTGTAAAGTAACTTAATAACAGGGTTTCATAAGTCTTATAAAGACAGGAAACTAGAAAGTTCTATATTTTAATGTACTCCAGCACAGAGAAAATAACAAATGAATTAAGCATGTGCCTGATCAATTGCATCCAATGGAGGGTTAAAGAAATTCTTTTTGATCTTATTTGAAAAACTTTTAGTTTTTAAACAAGAACTCTTTTTAAACAAAACTGCAGTTTTAATTCTTATTTTGATAGTAAAATTAATTAAATGTTAAAAAAAATAAACCTATTGCCTCTAAAAAAAGTTTTGATTGTACCAGTGTTTTGATAATGAAATTTAATGTTTATAAAAATTTCACTTTTAAAGATGAAATTTTTATTTGATTGCAAGTCTCAACTTGTTTATTTCTTTGGTTTTAAAGCATATCTTTTTTCTCTCTATTAATTTTTTAATGTTAAAAATGCCTAAAACCTCTTTTTAATTTTACTCTGAAGAAAGAAATTTTATTTTTTATTTTCAATTGTTTTAGTCTACAACTTTAAAACATATTGGTATGAAGTTTATTGATGATACATTTAAGGTGAACACATTTCTTTTTAAAAAATATACATTCAGGTTGGATTTTGGGTAATTCATTTCAAATGATATAGTTTTTAAAAAACAAACTATTTTGTTTTAGCAATCTTTGCAACCATTACGTGAAGCTGCAGTTCTTCGCGATAATTTTCAAACTAGTCTTGCTTTATTTCAGGTTTTTTTATAAACTTAAATAAGTTATTTTGTTGTATAATTGTTATATTATTTTATTAAATAAATTATATTTATTAATTAAATTATATTTCTGTTAATTATGAGATGATTTTTTACAATATCTTATTTTGTTTTAATCTCAAATTATTTTTTTCAAGGAGAGTTGTGGATGCGCTCGCACAAGCGTTAAACAATGTGTAAGAATACTTGCTCAGCGCATTGGTACTACCAATGAAAGAAATTTGCCAAAAGGTTTAACTGTAAAAATTACAGGAGAGGTAGACTGATATTTTGTTTTGATATCTTTGCTAAATTGTTTTCAAAAAAAAAATTAATTATTAAGGTGGAGAATTATTTTAAATAAGAAAGTATATTGATTTTAATTTGAATTGAATACATTGAATAAAGTAAGAATTTTGAATGTAATGAAAAAAAATAACCCAGTCAATAATTTCATTTAAAAAGTGTTTGTTAGTTGCAGCTTTTGAACTGCAGATTTACAAAGATCAGTTCTATCTTCTTGAGTTTAACTTGAATTATAAACAGGTTTTTAATGATTTATACACAGTAAATGAATTTTTTTCTTTTTGCCATTAGCTTATAATTTTAGTTAGGTTTTAATAATTTCTACCTCTTTTATGATTTTTTTTCGGTTTGTTTTTTTATTAAATAACAAGCATATTAAGTATTTAGTTTAATATTATTTTTTATGCTTAAATAATTTGTTGTAAATGCTTACTTTTTTATGTTCGTCTTAAATAAAAAAAAATTAAATTCTTTGAAAGTTAAAAATTAAATTCTTTGTAAACAAAGAAAAATTAGTGCATGTAAAATGAATATTAGAGTGATTCATAATTTATCATTTTTGAAATCAAGTTAATACTTTAATTGAAAAATTAGTTGTTTATGTCAAGATAAGTTATATAGTACATGTGGAGTCCTAAAATGACTCCAGCCTAAAATGACTCCAGCCTAAAATATTTTTTCCTGGTCTCTGATGGCTAAGAGCTCTAAAAATGTTGAGCGATTTATGATATGAAATAAGAAAAAAACTTATGAGATTTAAACTTAGAACTTATTGTTTTTTTAGCCCGGAGTCCTGGAGTCCTTGCTATATACATCAGGACTCAAGGTTCAAAATTTTATTGTTCCTCTAACCTTATAATCTTAACTTTTTCCCCAAAAGTTTTTAAGGTTATTATTATCTCATAGGTTTCCTCTTGAATAACAAAACCAAAGAGAAATAATTATTTCCGAGCATTCCTGCTTTTATTTAAGCTAAATTATTAACAACGTATTTTTAGTTGTAATTTTAATGTATTGTAATTTGTAATGCATAATTTGAAAACTGATGAAGTACTACACTTTACCTATTAAAAAAGTTCACAAATACACTAAACACTATTTAATTGCTGTAACTTAAAAAGTTGCAGGTTCACAAGCACGCTTTATTTTCAGTCAGAGCTCACTATTATGAAGAATAATACTAAACTTTTTTATTTTATTTGAGTTTAGAAATTACCTGTGCTAACTGTTGAAGGAGAAATTCCTCATGTGTTGCAAAAAATGATTGAATCATTTGAAGAAGTAAGCTTTCTATGTAACTAAGTTTTTTTGTACACTTTAAATTACTTTGTGTTTAATAAATAATTATTCTTTAATATAGTTTCTTTGTGAATGCTCCAATATGAGTCTTCATGCAGCTGATCTATATGAAAGATTGACCCATGCAAGAAGGTCAGCATTGGAGTGGCATGTACGTTGTTTATTAATTAATGCGTCAGTGATTATTTTTTTTTTATTATATTATATTTTATTTTCTGCAACTTTAGGATGATCTTACAAAAAAATCGAATAAGGATAGTGGCAAAGGCAAAAGCAATTTAAAGGTAGTTTTATTAAATCTTTTTATTTACTGTGTGCATGTTTAAATGTGTTTTACTCTCAACAATTTTTTTTTTAATGTTTGTGTTATTTGCATATATCATACAACCCTCGAAATTAGGGTCAGCATTCGGCAATGCTGACCTAACTGCCGACCTGAAAGTGCCTGAGATCGGCAAAAACTTGCCGACCTTGTTTCTATGTTTTATGGTTAGACCTTAGTATCGAACAATTTTTGCCGACCTCAAAAAGATTGAGGTCGGCAAATTATTGCTGAACTCAATTTTCCTAATTCTGAGGGTTGGTCATAAATAAAGGGCAAAATACACAGAAATTTTTTTAGTTTAAAATTATTTTCAGAGCTTGCTATCTTGGAAACAAGACATTTTTTAATAATTTTTTTGACTTTAAGTTTAAATAATTTAAAAAGTAAATAATTTTATTTTTTGTCATATATTAGTTTATATATTATTTATTAACTATTATCAGTAGAGCATTTTTTTTTTATTCTTAGGAAAGTTGGTTACTGTCTAGAGGTGACCATATTAAAAAGTTTGACATTTTGACATATTTTTGCCAAAAAAGTTTAATGTTTAAATAGAAGTTGTTGCATTATATACATAGATAAGTTTTTTCCGGAAATTCCCGGAATTTCGAAAATTCACCTAAAACACCTTTAATTTTTCCAGAATTTTCCTAATGCTTTTTGATATTAATTTAAAAAAATATATATTTTTACATAAAATTTTACATACGACAACTTTTGCATTTAAACAAATATGTTTTCTATAATAAAAATTTTCCCGAGATCAATTTTCGTAAGAATTTTTTTTTTTTGCTTTTTAATTCATTCAAACTTTTTCGAATATTAGAAATTCCTTTGTAACAAGTTAGAAATTCCTTTTGTAAAAAGTTAGAATTTTCTAAATTCCGTTTTAAAATAATCTAAATCTGCTTTTCAGTTAAATGCGATCAATTTTTAATAAAATAATTTTCCGGGATTATTATAGAAAAAAAATTTCCGGGATTTCCATAAAGTCCAATACTCATCTATGTATATATTAGGGGTGTTTAAAAAAATAAAGTTTTCAAAACCCGAATACACAAGAAGTCAAATTTGGGGCAAATATAGAACAAATACGATTACAAAAAAAATTTTTTTTTTTTTTTTTTTGCATAAATTATGTGAAATCTTTTTTATTTTAAACAACAATTATGAAAAAAACAGGATACACAACAATCTAAAAAAAAGATTAGACCATTATGGTCACATTAAAAAAAAAAATATTTTTTTGAACTATTGTATATTATGTTTTGAGCATAGTTGACCACAAAAAAATTTTGTTTTGTTGTTTCCATTGCAAAATAAAATTATGTGTAAGATAAAATTTCATAAGCTTATAAAAAAAACAAGTTTATAAAAAAAATGTTATAAAAAAAATGTTATAATAAAAGGTATACATTGTATCAATGAGCGAAGTTAGAATTTTGAAGTCGTTTTTTTTATATTAATGATTATTTTCATTTTAATAAATAATGAAGCTTAGAAAAAATAACCATAATTGGCTCTTTGCCACACTGAATTTTATAATTTATCAAATTTCAATCATTTACTATTATAAAATTCAAAAACCACCACACCTGCAAGAGATACTTTTGAACTTGTTTTTGGTAAGGTTAATAGAGTTTGAAAAAAGCTTTTTTTTCAATTTTTACCTTGTTATGCGGTTCACTTTAAATACTGTTTTAAATTAAACACATTTTAATGTAAAACTAGTTTTGTATTATAAAATTTTCCTTAGGTTCACAATAAAATTAAGAGCATTTTATCATTTCATGAAAAAAAATTGACTACAATTACATCATAATGATAAATTATGATGTAATTGTAGTCATAGTAATGTAATAATGCTTATAAGTCTGCTACTTACAGAAAAAAACAAGTCAAAACTTTTAGTACAAAATAATGGCGAACTGTTGGAACAATGATGATTGGATAAAAAAAGAATTTTCAATATAGTCTTTAATTAGCTTTGCAAGGAAGTTTAATTTTCTACGCCTATACTAAACACTAACTTTCACAAATCTTTGCCTTTAGAAATAGTTAGCTGTAACACTTTACTTTTTAATTGAATCTGCAAATTACGGAACAATAGCCAATCTATCTGACATGGGAAAAACAACTGTTATTACAAAATTTTAATGTTTATAAAATTTGTAAACATGTTGATAACTTGATAAAGTAATACATTTTTTACTCTCTATGGAAGAATCAATAAGGATAACATGTTTTGAAAAATTATATGATTGTCCGCAAGTAATTGGAACAGTTGATATAACAGTTAATATAATTATAATATACACATAGCCAATATTGTTGCAACATCTTGTTTACTACATAATATCTGTGCTTTGACAAAACAACATTTTTTGAATGCATGGATTGAACAAACAGAAATTAACTTGGTAAATGAATGGATTAAACAAACAGAAATTGACTTGGTAAATGAATGGATTGAACAAACAGAAATTGACTTGGTAAATGAATGGATTGAACAAACAGAAATTGACTTGGTAAATGAATGGATTGAACAAACAGAAATTGACTTGGTAAATGAATGGATTGAACATGCAGAATTTTAGTAAACCCACTATTAAACTGCAGCTGCATAGAACTTGACAATAAAACTCTATTAAACTGCAGCTGCATAGATCTTGACAATAAAAATGAGTTTGATAGAAATGCCATTAAAAAAAACAACATTATTTTATAACTATTTAGTTGTAAATGAGTTTTTTCAAACAATATTCAAAAAGATAAATATTTTATTTTGAGAAAAATATAATATAACAAAAAAGCTGTTTTGCATTTTTTCAATCTTAATTAAAAACTTAGACCCGTTTTTAAGACGTTTAACATCTTTATCATTTTGGATATTTTGGATAAGTACATTTGGTAACTTGGTCAATAAAGATGCATTATCTTGAATTGTAAATTCCTCGTTTATTGTATAAATAAGTTATTCTAGTGTCAAATACGACAACATAACTTCTTTTTTAATAAAATATAAATCTTTGGCTCGATAATTTTTTAATGTAACAATGTATCAGACTGAGAGTTCGTTAATGTATTAACAATGGCATTTATATGTTTTCGAATGTTAAATCACTTTTTAAAGTAAAAACTTTTATTACTTCAGAATCTTTTTTTCTTCAGATTTAGAACATGATGGAGTAACTTATTTATCAATATGCTCACAATTTACTAACTCGCGTTTATTTAAATCAATTCTGCAGTTTCTTTATTAAAAACATTCATGCCAGCAGAACTTTTTAAAGATGTGTTAGTAACGTAGTTTTCTGATCACTAGGAATCTTATCGGTTTTATTAAACCAGGATAGCTTTTTTGTAGAACCAGTCCTACTAAAAAGCATTGTTAAGATAATTTCGATCCACACTTGTAAATGTATGTAATCTTGTATTACACATCTCTTCATTTTTGTCTTCATATCCAGAATCTTGTAAGTATAGCAAAATTTTCTCCCATATTTTTCTCTTTCTAAAATGTAAAAAATATGAAGTTACAGTTGTTCAAGCTAATCATAAAAGAGTAATCATAAAACGCAAATAAAACAACCTTACGACGTTATTTTATTTAAAACAACCTCACGACGTTATTTTATTTCAAATAAAACAACCTAACGACGTTATTTTATTTAAAATAACCTCACAACGTTATTTTATTTCAAATAAAACAACCTAACGACGTTATTTTATTTAAATAACTTTTAACATTGCGTGTCTTAAATGAACTTTAAATTTGGTAAGTATCGTAAAATTTTAAAAATGTAAAATACTTCTGATAAAATGTGTTTTATCATCAGTATCTAAATAATTTTTTTCATTAAATCATTGAGAATTAAACGCCGTAGTGTTATATTTACTACGTGTGTTATATTTACTACGTGTACTATTGATGTTTTAATTAAATAAACTAACTTTTTTTTTCAATATTTACATAGGTTATTGAGAGTTTTTCTTGGAACGTGAAAGTTCTTAGTGGTCAAGCTGATCTATTAAAAGCTGCTATAACACAATGCGAAGAGTGTAAAAAACAAGTGATTATTTTAAGATTTTTAATTTTTGAATTTATACGGTTACATTTTTTTATTATTATTAGGCCGGGTGTATAAAAAAAGCAATTGCTTTTACCCAGTAAATATCCGGTGGGAAATGAGCTAGCGACTAGCTAGCTTTATAGCGATTTTCAAGTGATTTTTTTTTTTTTTTTCTTATTTTATTCTTTACTAATGTCTCTAACATCTTTAAAATTTGATTTTTAGCGTCGAGTCTATTATAATTATGGGAATAATTGAACTTTAAACATTGCGATTTTGTAGCAATGTGTCGCTAGCTACACTACAAAAGTAGTAGTAGTACGCAGTAGCTAGCTACAAAATATCTACAAATCTATAGCTGGTTGATAGCTGCATACCAAAATATTTTTGATAGCGATTTTATTACGATATGACGGTAGCTACAATAGCCTGTGAGTCTTTAGCTTATTAAGCTAGCTGTCCTCGTAGCCAAATCGCTGTCTTTGTTTTTACAAATATCGATAGCTTTTCGCTAATTTAAAAAAGCTAGAGATCCTCGTGGCCAAATCGCTGTCTTTATCGTAACAATTATAGCTAGCTATTCGCTAGGCGATTTCCCACCGGGTAGTCAACTTTACGTTAATAAAAACTTTAGCTGTTTTGCTCAAACTTTTATTCACATAAAGCTGAAAAATTTACTTGGCGTTTTTGGATTAAATTGCTTAGCTTTACGTGAATAAAAATTTAATCGAGTTTGCTAAAACTTTTATCCACTGAAACAATTACTTTTTATTCATGTAAAGCTGAACAATTACTCCAAAAACACTGAGTAAAAGCAATTGCTTTTTTTTATTCACCCGGCGATAATGAAGAATATTCTAGATTTCTAGTAAACGTTTTTTTTTTTTTAAGATTATCGATGTTGCAAGCACTTGCGGTTTTTCTCCACCAAAAGAACAAGAAAGCTGATGATCTTTTTCAATATTATATTATTGATAGCACAGTGGTTTCTCTGTTGATCAATTAGAGGATTTCTAATTATAACGTACGTTTTGCCCAGCGGTTTCTGTACCTTATAAACGTCAAAATACATCATAAAGACTCTCCTCGTTTTACAGGTTCTATAGGGCTTTGTAGTCGAGAATTAATTTAGAAGTAAGAAATTTACAAATGAAATTCATACAAAAGTGCTCTTTATGTTCATACTACGTTTAAACCTGCATTTTAATTCGGTAGATATGAAAATGATGCTACAGTGAATAATTTTTTTTTGAATTGCATTATCATTAGGAGGGCGAGTGTTGAATACTATTTTGGGGAAAAGGGATGGGTAGAATCAAATATAAACAGTTAGTTGATGTCAAATTTAAAATTTTTCATATAAAATAAATTGTGTTTATTTTGTACGATATTTAAATATAATGAAATTTGTATAATGATCCATTGCACGTAATTTTCGTAAAATTGAAATTTTGATTTTGTTAATAGCAATCCGTGATAATCTTACGTGATATTATTTTTCTATGTACCTTGAAATGTATGTATGTATTTATGTAAATAAAATATTCATAAACTCTCGGAAAAATTTTATTGTTATAGTTTATTTTATAATGATAGAATTAACAAAAACTGTAATGTGTTGTTCAACAAAAACACAATCGATTACAAATTACTTTATTATAATTACTACCTTATTCAGTAGTTTGTGGAAGAATTGATTGCAAGTTTTTACAAATTGAAACTTTATGAGAAAAAAAAATACTAGATATTTTTTTGCGATTCGAAAGCAAAATAATATATATATATATATATATATATATATATATATATATATATATATATATATATATATATATATATATATATATATATATATATATATATATTTACTTTTTTTTATTTTAAATTTACTTGGAGTAAAGGACCTGGGGCTAGAAAAAGAATTTTAAAAGTAGCTTCAAAAAAAAGTCACAAACTTGAGCCTCTTTATAAACCAATTTTCTTTTACAAATCTTAGATTAAAATATTGAAATTAAGATTGAAGTACATAATTGAGCAATTTAGTTTCTTCAACTAGCTAAAAAAATTTGAAACATTTTTTGCATTGATGGCCACCAGATTTATAATTCAATGTAAATACCAATTCAATACATTCATTAATTGTGATTTGAGGTGCAATTGCTAAAACTTTTTATTTTTAGCCAGACTCAGAAAACTATAAATTTTAAAGTTCGATTATTTGTCATTGTCGTATTAATCATTAAATAATTTTAAATTTTAAAATAAACAAAAAAAATTCTATTCCTGGACTTCATTATGTCGCGTAATGAAGCCCTGGCTTTTCGCTCAGCCTCATTCATCGAATTCAAGAGCAATTAATAAGTTGTCTTATTTGTGGACCATCAAATACTCCTGCTTTAATTTTTTCTCAACTGTAACATCTTCTCCCCTATATATCCAAAACACAATCCGCTTTTTTCAAAAGCCATTACGAACTGCTTCATTTCGTCCAGCTTGATATGCAGTGGAGGAGAAATAATTTTTTCCCGTTTAACTAAGAACATTGTTATTTTTGTCCATATTCGACATTGTTCTTTTTTTGACATTATCGATATTCTTATTCCCAACACCGGGAATAATAATATCGATAATGTCAAAAAAAAAAGTTTTTTCTCTTAAGCCATTATTTTCTAACCCAGTGGTGTGTTTTATTTCTGCTATCCTTAAGGTACAAAAGCAAGGATAATTGGTGTAGTCAGTTTGCTGTCCTAGGAGATAGTTTACCATTTTTACGACCACACAAATCGCCTATTGATGTTCTTTTAGCTTTTCCAAGATAAAAGCAATATTGTCATATTCTTCTTTCATTTTCGTTGATTGAGCATTTGGTATTAAACTAAATTTGTTCTCTATGTGCAGAAGAACAACTTTCAAATTTTACTTTGAACTGCCAATAAATAGACGCCAATCATCTTGAAAATATTCAGGAAGGCCATCCTTTTCATGATGGTCCTCTAATTTTAAAATATTCAAGAAGGCCATCCTTTTCATGATGGTCCTCTTCTTGAGAAGAGGGGTAGCAATTAACCAGGAAGCAAGTAACTCAGAACCTTCTTTTTACAAGTTGAGATCTCTGGTGATATCATTCAACACATCTTGGTTGAATTGTTGTGGAGTTGATGACATCCCCTCATAATCACTGTCAACTTTATTAGTATCAGAAGAGTGATTAGAAAAACAAAGTTTATCCTCACAGAGCTCTGGTAGCTGAAAAAACGCTGAAATTGGCACTTCTTCTGAGTAAAAAACCGGTCGTCTTGCAGAGATTAAATCAGGATAAGTCCATTTGCTACGGTTGTTTGGTTGGTTCCAGTAATATTTTTTTAGAACTTCAAGAAAATTAGCGACAATTATGACAATTCAGAAAATGTAGTTGAATACTCATATTGCTACCAAGTGCTTTATGCTTTTCCAATAGTTACTGAACAATTTCTCCCCAAGAAAGAAGCAAACCATTTTAGGGTCAATACAGATTGTCCATTGATGCTTTTCATACTGTAATAAATTAATGACTCTCTTTACATCTCCATATTCTTCAGAAAGACAAACTCAATAGACAGAATGCCCAAATTCAATATAATTGACAGAATGCCCAATCGGCACTGCACCAAACAAACTACCATTATGTAGCAAGACACACTTCAAGCTCCTCTTGAAGTGCGTCTTGCTACATAATGGTAATTTGTTTGGTGCAGTGGTGAAAAAAAAATTTTCCTCTGAAAATTTTTGTACAAGGTCTTAGGTATATGCATGGACACGATTTTTAAAAAATTTGAAATATATTTTGCAACGTCCGAGAAAATAGAATCTCTATAAAAGGAAATTAGGACATTTCCAAAGCATGTCTGTCTGACTGCATCAAATGTTTTAAAGGCAGAAGTTTTTCTCCTTCATTTCCAATTTTGGCATTTGCAAGCAATTTTTATATGAACAGGATTGTCTGTGAGTATTCGAGTACGCTGACATTTACATCCATTAATGGATTTCCTTGATCCAGCTTTTGGAAATGGCCTAATTTTTTCTAGACTTGCTTGATGAGAGATATTATTAGAAACACTGGATAGTTGACTTCTAGGATCAGATATAGGTTGAATAGGCAATGATAGACTTGAAATCAATGATTGATTAAAAGTTCGGGCATGAACAATAGCAGAAACTGGATCAACAACACCTGGAAATGGGTTAGCAGTAATAGGTTCTAGACGGTCTTTTACATATGAAGACAAAAACTCATTATCAGAAAGTATGTTAGGATTAAAGGGTTCGATTCCTGTCACAGCAAATCCTGCAGAAATGTTAAACAAAGTAAAAGCTTGTGCATAGGCTTTCCTTGCAACTGAAGCTATATCATATATGGTCATCAGTCTGGGATTAGATACAATCCAATCATCAGAGGCAACATTGTAAAAACGTTTCAGTAGCCCATAAACTGACCGATCTAATGGCTGCAACTTGTGACTACAATGTGGTGAAAAGGACAGCATAGTTATGCCATTTTTTTTAGCTAAATCTAAACACACAATTGCTCACGTGGTTGTCAAGAAGTAAAAGCACTGGATTAGCTGGTGAACATTTCACATTTTGAATAAAATTTCATTTCATCCACTCTAAAAATGTTGCAACATTCATCCAACCAGATGGGTTTGCAACCCCAACACATCCAGGTGGACCACCATTTATCATACTTCCTTTGAAATGAACTCTTGGAAAAATAAAAAATGGAGGGATTGAGTTTCCTATTGCATTAACTGCACAAAAAACTGTTACCAATATCCCTCTTTCTGCTGAAGTTATCCTTCCAACTTGTTTATCTCTCTTTTAGCAATTACTTTAACTGGTTTTTAAACAGATGTGTGAGACCTGTCTTACCAACATTATATATGTTTTGTGGCTGAAACTTGTGTCGTAGACGAACATCTTTAGATTAGTGAAAAATTCTCCAACTGTATAAGAATTAAAAGCAGTTGATCGTGCCATACTAGTAGCTTCTGGATTTCGTAAAGATAACTCATTCCTATGTAACATAAAACCACAAAGCCCATGTTTCACAGCAATTTGTAAACTTTTCCACGATTTAAGAATGCGCTTAGAAAGAGTCATTGCAAATTCATAGGTAAGTTTTCGTGTTGTTTTGATTGACAATCCATAGTGAAGTTTTGAGGCCCTTAAAAGATAATCTGATAAAGATGTTTCTTCTTTGTTAGTAAAGATTTGCATGGTAATGAAGTTAGGTTTGAAGACTGTATTTGGATTTAATTGACATTACCACTATTAAGAATTGCATTAACAGCTGCTCGCATTTCATTCTCATTAACTTTACCTCTAGGTGGTCTATTGGTTTTTCTTTTTTTTTGTATACACCATATTTAACTGTAAAAAAATGAAACGTATTTATATAGTTTTACCATATTTAACTGTAAAAAAATGAAACGTATTTTATATAACTTTTGGATAAACATTTATAAAGATTTTTACTTACTAAAATCTTCTTTATTAACAAACACACACAGATATATATATATATATATATATATATATATATATATATAATATATATATATATATATATATATATATATATATATATATATATATATATATATATATATATATATATATATATATATATATATATATATTGAATACTTTACAATTATATTATCTAAAAGTTTTTGGAGAACAAAAAAATACATAATAATATAAAATCTTTATTTTAAGGCTTTATTTTAAAAGAAAAAAATATATTTAAAAACAATATGACGTATTGTACATGTTACTTTAAAAGTTAAACATTGTGTGTGTGTGTGTGTGTGTGTGTGTGTGTGTGTATGTATGTGTGTGTGTGTATGCACTTTTGATCATAGGATCAAAGGTGCATAAACGCATTAGGATCAAGAGTGCTGACCCGCTCCATTTTTACAAATATTCTTTTTTTGTCATATTAGATGCTTCTATAGCTTACCAAAAGCAACCATACAAGAGGTAAATAGTTTAGTTACAAAATGACATAGCATAATTATTCAACTTAAAAAAAATAATAAAGATGTGAGGTTCCTTGTAAAAGTGAAAAAATTACTTTTTGTCGTCAAAATCAAACTATTTAGAAATAAATTTAATAGTGGTCTATTCTCTAACCAAAACACAATTTTGAAGATACAATATTTATAACACGCTGGTTATCAGCCCTCTTTAATAAGTTATGTAAGTATGGAGATAACGCTATAGGATCAAAGGTACTTACGGATCAAGGGTGCAAGTTCTCCCCTACATTGGTTTCCGTTGAATTCTCCTCCATGGAAACGTTACCTGTAGATGCTTAGTTTGTTTGGCCGGTCAGTAGCTTTCAAAAAACAAGAATTGGTTTTGCTAAGGGTAGTTATTAAATGATCTAATAGTCTGTAGGTAACTCCTAAAACCATATGCAATTCCATGATTGGCAAAATATCAAGAATTTTTGTTTTATCTAGATGATCCAGTAGGGAGGTTCATGCAACTTATAACTTAGCTTGCCGCCGAGAGCTTTGATTTTTTTGAAAGAACACTGAGATCTTTCTGATAATTGTTGGCATTGGATCTAATCCTCTATGGCCTACTATTGAATATATAGTAATAAACATATAGTATTGATATAGTATTGATATAGAATATATAAATATAGAATATATACTGAATATAGTAGGCCATGAATCCTCCCAAGTGTCTTTAATTGCTCTGTCGTTTCTTGGTTTCCAAAATCTTTTTTCAAAATTTCACACCAAGGGCAGGGATATCTAGATACAGCTGAATCTAAACCAAGAAAAGTATTTGCAAGTTTCATATCCACAGCTGCACTAAAAGCAGCAGTTTTAAGACAAAGCAACTCTAAAACTTCCTTCAAGTTCTTATAAGAGTCTTTTACAGACTCAACAATTGCCAAGATCATGACTTTCTTCACTCCTTTGTCACAAAAGGCTTGAGAAGATGCACCTTAAGAATAGGAAATTTTGAATAGTTTGGATGTGCTATTCCATGAAAACTGGCTGCCAGCAGCGCTGGCATACTTTAACTGGACCACAAGGTAGTAATCTTTGGATGCTACTGGAGGTCTTCCAACTTAAACAGCCTCAGCTGATCCTTCGCTCATTCCAATTGGATTGAAACGGGGAACTTCACAAATAATGCAACAGCAAAAGGGATTTGATTTTATCAGAGTCATTAGAAAAACTTTAAAAAAATTAAAAGAGCCAGGTAGATCATTATTTGTTTTTCTCCCCTTTTTTAATCTTAAGAAGAATTAGTCTATATCTAGCACAGATAGCAGAAGGTAAATGCTCTTCATTGGGGTCATAGTTTTCAATAAAGTATTTCTGAGTTCTTGGAAGTATCGAGTCTCTTCTAGCTGGCACCATATCTGTTCTTTTTTGAAAGCAAACCAGAAATACTTTACCACAATTTTTAGGGTGTGATAAAATCTTGTTAGACATTGTGATAATAGACTTGGACAACTAATATTTATGCACTACTTCAAGTCTAGATTTTCACATAAATGACAAATGCAAAATTATGAACGTTAAAATACACAAAAGTTTACTCTTTTTTCATAAAGCTATAAGTTTTTATTTTTATTACTTTTTTCTTGGCTAAAAGCCAAGAAAACTATTTTACTTGAAAGTTTTATCAATTTGGAGCCTTTGTTTTATAATAAAGGAAATAAATATTTTCTGTATTTTAGGGTTTTGAAACATTAAAATAGCCATAACTTTCTCAGACGTCGCAAAATATTTTTAAAAATTTGTGAAAATCATCTCCATGCATATACCTAAGACCTGGTACAAAAAATTTCTGAGGAAATTTTTTTTTACCTTGATGGTAATTCCATGCCTATGTGATTGGAAGGTAGTCTGAAATTCCTAATTCCTTCAGTAATTCCTTCGAAATTACTCTTATGTAACACCGAGAAAAAAACTAGTTAAAATAGTGTGCAATGATGATGAACATTGTACTTTTTTAATTTTGATTTTTGTTTTTTTTTTTTTGTTTTTTTTTTTGTTTTTGTTTATTTGTTTATTCCTTCTATAGAAGATAATTGTTTGAATACTGGCACTGGAATTTTATTTGAATAACACATCGGACTTATAGCTGATGTTAAAATTAGATAAAATTTTTTTTTTTTTTTTTTTTTTTTTTTGTTAAAGCCTGATGTTATTACTAGACAAAAGTAACATTTTGTGAAATGTTCCAACTTTTCTCATGTTTCCTTCAACCACATATGTAAACTTTCGACAGACTGGTTGCACACTTTGTGAGGGGCCTGTGACTTGTCTTGATCACCAAGTTTTATATTAAAATATGAAAAAATGGGCTTGCTTAACAAATAAATTAATGTTTGCCCTCTGACTTTAAATAGTGATACTATTTAATGACAGACGTGAATAAAAGTAAATATATACGTATAAAAAATATATGGATATAAAGCTTACATGTTTTAAAAACAAAAAAAAACATTAAAACAAAATAAAATATTTTATGGTTTTGGAACGAGCCTGTCAATTTTAGTCAAAATAGACCCCAAATCAAAATCAACAAAAAATTTCAAATTGTTCCCCAGTGTATTACATAACATATTGTCTGGTTTACAAGCATACACTTCATTGTTCAAATTAAGTTAAAAACTTTTTTATCTGCTCACTTTTATAATACCTGTAATAAGTGTATTATAAAAGGGAACAGATAAAAAAGTTTTTAACTTAATGTAAACAATAAAGTGTATGCTTGTAAACCAGACAATATGTTATGTAATAAACTGGGGAACAATTTGAAATTTTTTGTTGAATTTGATTTGTGGGTCTATTTTGACTAAAATTGACAGGCTCATTCTAAAACCATAAAATATTTTATTTTGTTTTAATGTTTTTTTTTTGTATTTAAAAATTATAAAAGTATTATAAAAAAGTAATAAATAAGAAACTGTAAAAAATGAAACTGTAAAAAATGAAATTGTAAAAAATCAAACTGTAAAAATTGAAACTGTAAAAATTGAAACTGTAAAAAATGAAACAGAAAATAAAAAAAATGAGAAGTCTGAATTGAAACTAAAAAATTTCTCAAATCAAAAAATTATTGTTAGACCAAAGTTTTACATCAACCGTAAATTTGAAATCAATATATTTTTGAAGATCTTGGTTGATATGTCGTAGACTCAAAAGGCATTGTAAGCTGGCTATTGGGTTGCTCGAAAATTAAAAAAAATTTAAAAAAAAAAGAAAATTTAAAACGTTATAAAGAGCCAAAAGCTATCACCAAGTTTTTTCGAAAAAGCACAAAGCGCAGTTCACTAATAACTAATACATCATTGTTGTGTAAAACCCGATTGTCTAAGAAGTATATAAACATTTGTATTTTTGGCGAGAATTTTGAAATTTGCTATCAATTCATAGCAAAAAAACTTGCAATTAATTACAAAATTTGGAAAGACAGTGGTAAAATGTGCGGCCGTGGCGCAGTGGTTACAGCGCTTTATTTATAACAGGAGATCCAGGTTTGAAACGAGCTCTCAACATATTTTCGCGTCACTGAAGGAAGGAGGTGTGAACTTCCTGGTTAAATGCACTTCCGCGGTGCTCTGAGACAAGACCGTTAGGTCTTCTTTGGACACCTAAATAACAAACAAACAAACAAAAAACAAAAACAAAAAACAAACAAAAAAATGCTGTGTTTATTACTGTGTTCTTGTACTTCACTATCTTTTGTTGTAAATTTCTTGTGTTTTCTTTGTTTTCTACCTACTTAGCGATATTGAAATCCTGTTGCTTAGTCATTGATACAATTGCTTAGTCAACAGATACAATTGGGCTTGCTGAATGCTCAAAAACAAATCATCAACAATAACATTTTCCGTGGGCACAAACAGAATGCTAAAGTACATACTGTAATTTTTATAATCTAAAGATATACTAAAATCGATGCTCTCACAAAGCCAATAAATATTATTATGAAAATCTCTCAAATTTACGGCTGGCAAATACACACAATTTATGCAGAAAATCATCAACATCCATAAAAGTGGTTTACAATGACTGCATTTTATTCCCAAAGATCCATATTTAAGAATACTTTTAGTTCTGCAGCTCTACAGTCTCCGTATATTAAAGAGTATTATAATATATAAACGCATTTAAAAATTGTTTGAAATATTTGTAAATTTATTTATTTATTTTAACTCCTAATATAGCTGTTTCACTCAATATAACAACGAGCGTGACGTCATGAGTTTATCAAAAAAAAAAGTATTTCCGCATAAAAAGTATAAAAATTCACAAACTTTAAATTAATAGTAACTTTTTTATATAAATGCTTTCATCTTGCAATTAAAAAAATATAAAAGATCTATCTTTCTTTGTTAAATAAATATTTACATTAATTGGTATAAAAATAAATATTGCCAAAATATTTTTAATAATTTAGAACCACTTTTCTAATTTTCGCATATTTTCCGGAAAACATGACTTGGGCCAACTAAGATTTCATAACATAGCTCTGTGCTTGGTAGTTGAAATTTGAAACATTTAACCCTAAATGTCCATTCTATCAGATTCCTGCGTCATCCTAGAGATTTTTTTACAAAAAGACTGTTTTTAAAGCATTTATATTTTTTAATTGCCCATTCTGTTCCTATCTTCAGAAGTTATTTATACCTATGCAATACCTTCGCTCAGGTTAAAGAATGGAATACTAGTCTTGCATCAAATGTATGTAAAAATCTAGCTTTTATATATTAACTTGTGATCAGAGCAACTGGTATGTTGGTTGGGTATCATCTTGTATGTTTGTGTATTTAATTTAAAAAATGTATTGTCCTTCATTACATGTAACATTTTTTTATAGATATTTTACATATCCATTCGATGTTTATCACCAGAAGTTAGTTCTACCTTTGCAGTACCTCTGCTCTACATACCTCCTCGCTGGTTAAAGAATGGAATATAAATCTCATATCAAGTTGGTGTAAAAATTTAGTTCAATAAATTAAGAATTTGTAAACGTTATCAAAATTTTGAGTGGAGCAATTGCTTTTCTGGTTTAGCATGAGTATGAATCTGATATCAATTGGATGTACAAAGATAGTTTACTACTTAAAGAACCTATCAGTAAACCAACTGATTATAAAACAGTTTTTAATGGGAATAAAAACAAATTTTCAAAAGATTTCAATTAGCTATTTGTATATTCAAACACTTTATTTACTGAGAGAAAAGACTAGATTCAAGTATATAAAATAATTCTACTACCAAAAGCGAGGTTAATTCAAAAACTTAAACTCAAGTTTGGTCATGAATTATTTTATTAGACTTGGCGAGTCTTTATTTATTAACAACCATATTATTAGAACTGTATGCACAGAAAAAAATAAATGCCTAAGCTTTAAATGTTTTGACTAAATATTCCAAAATCGAAATCTGGCTTTATTTTGCAATGCAATGAACTTATTGGCTTAGGAAAATAAGTTTCTAAAACAAGAACTCCTAGCTTTAAAAATGTACTCTTTTAACAGCTAATCCCCCTTTTAACTACATTTTTCATAACTTTGCGAAAAGTGCGGTTTGCTTTCAGACCTCAATAAAGTCTGTGTTAGCTATCCTTAAACAATTAAGTAAGGTTTTTTTGTTTCTATAATAGTCAAACAATGGGTATATTTGAGAATAACTATCAGAAATAAATTTTTCTGATTTTTTTTTGATAAAAAGTAACATCAAATTACTTGAATTCAGCCAACTTCATCATTTGTCGCGTTTTTTTTAAACTTAAAGAAGTTTTTTTATTAATGCATTAAATGTCGTAAGATGAAACATTTATTGGTGTTTTTATTCTTTTTACAAAACAAAATTATCTTTAATATTTTAAAAGTTATAGAAGTTTTAGTAACACCCCTTAAGTCAATATTTTCAAAAAATAACAAGAAGCCGTTAAGCTCGGTTTGAAACAGCCGTGATAGATAGTAAAGGGCTTCATGATAAGATCGTGCGATCTTCTGGAAGTCCTACCAGTAATATATTCAATGTAAATTTACCTTGTACATATTATTCTGGGAAAAAAAAAAATTAAGTAGTGATCTTTTAAAATGTTTAAGTATATGTAATATTATACCTTAATTAATAAAACAAACGCTTGAAAACTTCTTAAAATTTTTTTATAGATTGTTGGGAATTGGCACGTTTTGGAAAAAGTTCCAGGAGACTGATATCCAAAACGTTGAGATCTCATGCGAAGCGTTGCAAAAACTGGGATAAGTGCAAATTGGCATATGTGCGAATTGGCATAAGTGCGTTGGAATTAGAACTGGCATAAGTGCGAATTGGCATATGTGCGAATTGGAATAAGTGCAAACTGGCATATGTGCGAACTGGCATAAGTGCGCCAAAACATTTTTCAAACATCGCCATAAGTACGAATTGGCGTAAGTGCGAACTGGCATAAGTGCGAATCAGTTACAAAAACTGGCACAAGTGCGAACTGGCATAACTGCGAATTGGCTTAAGTGCGCCAAATAAATTTGCAAACATTGGCATAAGTGCAAATTGGCATAAGCGGGAAATATTAATTTGCACTTATGCCAGTATTTGAAATTTTATTCGGCGTACTTATGCCAATTCGCAGTTATTCTAGTTCGCACTTATGCCAGTTTTTGTAACTGCTTCGCACTTATGCTAGTTCGCACTTATGCCAATTCGCACTTATGGCAATGTTTGCAAATTTATTTGGCGTGCTTATGCCAATTTTGGTGAATAGGGTGGATGTTACAGTAATTCGTACTTCAATTCAGTAATTTTGGCGATGGTTTTTTGAGCTGTATGGGCTGGTGCATTATCTTGATGAAAAATGATTTTTTTCTTCTGCAAACCGGGTCTTTTTTCACAAATTTTTTTATCTAATTGGTCCAAAAGGCTACAATAGTAATCAGAGTTGATTGTTTTACCGGTTTGGAGGTAATCCACCTAAAAAATTCCTTTTGCATCCCAAAAAACTGACGCTAACCCCTTCTTGGCCGATTTATGGACACGAACTCGTTTTGCAGCCAAAAATTCGGGCCCACACCACTCTTTATCCTCTAGTTTTGATTTAGGATCATGATGATAGACAGGGCTGGACTAGGCCGTCGGGACACCGGGACGATTCCCGGTGGGCCGCCTGGTTTTTAGCAGGTTGTTTTGATTTGCTTTTGACTTCAAACGCGATTTATGGCTAGCGATAATTATGCGATACCATCCGCAGTGAGATATTTCGTATTTTTAATGATTGCATTTTGTGAAGTGAATCTTTTGAAGTGACAGGTCGTGTAACGGTGAAAACGGCATTTGAAAACAGTGTGTGAAACTACGTGTAGCATAAAGTGAAAAGTTGATGATTGCGTATTCGGGAAGCGGGAGCGATCGGAGCGATCGGAGCGATCGTTGACCACGGAAATAATATTTAGTTGCAAAAAACTGGCCAGATTTTTTAGTCGTTTTGAGAACATTTCATTTTATGTATGTTTCCATGTTTGTCCGCAAAATAGTTATAAAGTTAAAATGTAAACTTAAATAGGCCTCTAATATTATAGTCTTTTCCTTACGTATATATTTGATAAGATGAGTGAAGATTTGAACCGGAAAAGTAAAGGCGGGGCAGAAAAGCAACGTAAAAAGAAACAAAAGCTTCTTCTTCAAGGGGGAGAAAAGTGTAAAAAGATAACCGAATTTTTTAGACTAAGTACCCCAACCCAGTTTGGTGGTGATACTCTGGTTGATGATTTAGGTTCTCAAATTTCTGACGGCGATCAAGCCGGTCCTGCCGTCTCAGCCTCCGTGAGCTGTACTGTGCTGACTCCATCCCAGAAATCTGTATCCTCTGACTCCCGGCCTCAGAATCAGTGTTCGGAAATTTTCATGCGTCCACAATCGCAGTGCCTTGAATCATTTTTCAAGAGTCATCCGGTTCAACCAAAAGAGGATGGGGAAAATTTACCATTTTCAAATGTTCGTCGAGTGTTTTATAGAAGCCAAGACGATATCAATAGGGTTTGGCTTTCTTACTGTCACAGTTCGATTTACGAGCGACTGGTATCCGTCAGCAATTGTACTAATTCGACAGGCAAGGGTATCTTCGAGCTGTTCCGGGATGAAATTGTCAAAATGGGCATAAACATTGAAAACTGTGTGGGAAACTCTACAGACGGGGCGGCAAACATGCAGGGCCAATATTCCGGTTTCACAAAATGACTCAGTGAGGCATCCCCAAACCAAGTGCATGTGTGGTGTTACGCTCATGTATTGAATCTTGTTCTTGTTGATACCACACAAACCACCAAAGCTGCTATCAGTATATTTCAGCTTATAAACAAATGTGCTGTTTTCTTGCGCGAATCATATATACGAATGGACATATGGGCGTCAAAACAATCAAACAATAGAAGACTAAATGTAATTGGCGAGACACGCTGGTGGGCAAAGGACCATGCATTAAAAAAAATATTTGGAAGCTTCAACAACCCATCGACGTCCTTGTATATTGAGCTAATTGAAACTTTACAAGAGTTAGCCTCCTCTGAAGACTTTAACCCAACTGTTCGCCACACCGCCCAAACCCTATTAGATAAGTGCATCTCATTTGAAACAATTCTTACCGTTCAAGTTTTTTTGCGTATATTCCAACACACAGCATCACTTTCCTAGTACCTGCAGACAAGTGGGATGGACGTGCTCCAAGCCTACCGAAACGTTGACTGCACTATCAAGGCACTGCGAGACCAGAGACTTTGATGGCATTAATGCGAGCGCTAAAAAATTTGTCGAGTGGGCCAACAACTCATTGGAAGATCTGAAAATTGAAGCTGCATTGCCAGAGAAACGAGTTCGCGTCCCAAAAGCAATGAGGGGTGCGACGCACTCACGAGGCTGTCGGAGATCGCGAAATTGATTGCTACAGGATAACGGTACACAACTGGGTTATGGACAAAGTAGTGAAAGCTTTGGAAGAACGCTTTAAAGCTCAAGACACGTTGTTCACTGACATGGCGTGCTTGAATCCGGAAAATTTCTACGATATCAAGAAAAACGGTATCCAACCTACTGCCTTAGTACGTCTCAGCAGCATTCTAACAAAATTTAATAAAGATGCAACAGCTTCAAATTTACAATCCGAACTCATCGACTTTTCGCTCAAGTGGAGCAAATTTAAGAAGACCGTTCCTGAAGAGTATTTGGGCATGAACTTAGCGGAAAACCGAAACGACAACGATGAATTGGAGAACGACGAGGAAGCTGCAGTTTCTTCTTCGTTCTCTGAAGACAAAGAAGCTCATGGTAAATGCAAGAGTTGCAAAAATTGCCCCGTCTTTTGCTTCACGGTTTTACACAAATACAATTTCTACAGCAAAGCCTACACCCATTTGTACAACGCTTATGAGCTCTTGCTGACTTTATCGTCTACTCAAGTTGCGTGTGAACGGTCCTTTTCCAAATTAAAATACATTAAAAATAGACTGCGAGGTTCAATGTCGTCCACGCATTTAGAAGCTTTCATGCTGATGTCTGTCGAAGTAGATGTTATGGTTGGGCTGTCCAACGAAGACATCATCGACTCGGTTGCAGAAATCGCACCTGGGCTAAAAACACATCTGGTCCTTTGATCCACTACCATCCACATTCGGTAAGTTTCGATAATATGGCGTCAGAAACACTATGTTATTACGGACGTTACCAAATCATAATTGATGGTTATTTTTTTTGTTAATATCGAGTGCAATACATTATAACCACAGAATTCTGGAGACAGCATGTATACCTTTTATGATTGCAATACAGATTCTATTGGTCGAATGCAGTTTTGCACTAACTATACCATGTATAAGGTACGTGCTATAAATATTACTGTTAAAGCATCAAAGTCGATTATCAGATGTTTTTGTGCAACTTAGTCAAATAATTGTTTTGTAGTAGAGCAGAGAGCTTGCACATTATAGTATAGTTGTGACTTTTCGAGCGATATTTTCGACTACCTATTAA